GGAAGGTGTCAGCAAAGCCTAAGTCAATGGCATACGTGACAACAAAATTGCTGCCATGAAACGCGACTTGCTATGCAGGCAATGGTGGGAAAAACCGTTTTCGGTCCAAGAAACTGCAAGCCGCCTAGACAAAGACGGGGGCCATGTGATCCATATTTATTGGTACTAACTTCAAGATGATATTTGATATTTGATATTTAGTACCATTTGATATGGATATGGTACCATACCTCTTGAAGCTAGTGCCATCATTTGATATATACCATCAACTTGATCTAATAGCTGAGGTGGTTTGATATTTGAGGAGATTTCCCCATTTAGTTTTTTTTTGTGTGATTGAATGATGTTTGAATATAGAGATATAAAAGATAACAGCAATATGATACAATATGATATGCCTGAATACAATATATGTATCCCAGATCTATATTATATATATATCTAAGAATATCTAAGAAGACAAAGACATTGTGCCATATCTATATAGTATTATTTGAGGTATACATATGATATGTATATCTTGAAGGTATCTAAGATATATTATATATAACATACATTACATGTATGATTAATGGGTATCTATACATATATATATATGTTATACACCTCTATATAACATACATATCTATACATTCAAATAACACGGGTATTATCTATATAATATTGTATATTCTATAAATCAACAATTTATATAATATAGTATTGATTATATCTATACACCTCTATATAAGATACATATCTATACAGTCTATACATTCAAATAAGATGGGTATTATTTATATAATATGAATATGATTATGTATTGATATATGATTATATACATATATGATATAGAGGTATTATTGATTTACCCTCTGGTAATTTAACATAGCTATTGAACATGGCCATAGAAATAGTGAGTTTTCCCATGAAAAATGGTGATTTTCCATTGCTATGTTAGTTTACCAGAGGGTATACCTATATTATTTGTATCTATCTGATCTTAGCGCCAGGGCAAGTCCCAGCTGGTGGTCCAGGCGAGATGGGTTGCGTCATTGGGGGAATGCTAAGTGGCTCATCATCACAATACAACACAGTTATATATTATATTATAGAGTATATCATGTATACCCAATATATATATATATCAGTAAAATTAATATGGAAGTCTATATATTATTATATATTAGATAATATATATATATATTATAATATATTATCTGATATATATTATCTAATATATATATATTATTCTATATTATATAATGTATATCATCATATTATATTATATCTATGTATTATATATAATATATATATACATACACATAGAGTATATCCCAGTTCTGTGGCCTTTCATCCTTGCGCGCAATCACGAGAAGCTTTGGAATTCATCATGTGTGAGATGGTCAACCATGCTGTAGCAATGGCTCCTATGCGATCTATTTTTGGGAAAGCATTGGGTAGGAAGCACTGAACATTACAACCTGGCAGTTGTTGTTCTTTTCTGACGCACAAATAAAATGTCAAGTGCTTAAGTCTTTTTTTTCGACCAAGGAGGCTACCTTCTACACACCTTCCCACTTGAGGATGTGTATTGTTGCAACATGCCGTACCTATGAAACGGCCACCTGTCTTTACTGAAACACTTGTAATTACCACTTACCCTCTGGTAAGCTAACATAACTATGGAAAATCACCATTTTTAGTAGGTAAATCCACTATAAATGGGCCATTTTCAATAGCTATGTTAGTCATTACCAGAGGGTACCAGCGATATCTCTTCAGAATTTCATGGCGTCACTGGGCCCATCATATCGAGAACATCTATATCCTGACTGATGACGTTTTTGGGTCACAAGGCCAGAGAATGAAGTCTTCTATACATAGACTGGTTGGTGGTTTGGAACATGAATTTAATTTTCCATCATATATGGGATAACCCTTCCCAACTGACTAATATTTTTCAAGATGGTTGAAACCAGCAACCAGTAGATGACGAAACTGAGTCTGTGAAACAAGAAGAACCTTAATCATAAGAACCGCTTCAGTTTTTAAGATGTTGAAAGCAATAAACTATGATTATAGTTATAATCACCATGTAATCACCATCAAATCTAGCTTTAGCCCAGTTATCAAATGTTTAAACCCCATCCAGATCCAACTCCCTAATCATCTATAATTATAATCACCACCAGCCCAAGTTCGTTAAGTTGTGAAAAGCAAGAAATCGCCAACGTCAAGATACTGCCATGAAATATCCCACAAAAAAGTCCATGAAATCATCCCATAAGACCATCATTTCATGGTGAAGAATCCCAGCATCCTATGCAGTCCTCATGAAAAAAATCAGTTTTTTTTTCTCCAGATTTTGGAAAAACGTTTGGTGCTTCATGTTATAGCCCGAATTATACCAGTTATAAGTACAAAACCCCATTCACGGAATGTTTTTTTTTTTATCCCATAGAAAGAACTAGTTATACCTAAGAGCCATGGCCATGACTGTAGGTACGCTAATGATTCACTAATGATTCACTAGTGATTCACCACATGATTCACTAATGATGTACTAATGATTCACCACATGATTTACTACTGATTCACCACATGATTTACTAATGATTCACCACATGATTTACTAATGGATTTTCAAAGTTCCTGTCTTCGAGACAGGTCATCTTCCTGCTCTGCGACCGCTGTTGGGCCGTGCAACGCCAAGCGCTGCTTCTCTTACAACGGCTAGGCGCGACGCGGTCGGAGAATTGGATGATGGGAAAATTTTAACCGGAAACCCCTACATTTGATGGTAAAAACCCATGGTTTCCGGTTAAGATTTTCCCTTAAACCAATCCATTGAGAGATGTTGCTAGTAAGATCAAGTAAGAAACTGGGATGAAACTGAAGTTGGGAGTTTGTTTCTTTTGATTTGTGGGGGATTAATATGGATTAACCACATCTTCCCATCAACAAGGTTCTTTTTCACCACACATGGAGGATTCCTGAAATGGGGTACCCCACATTATTCCAAATTAGACAATTTTAGTATTGAAACCGGTGGTTTTGGGGATCCCCCATTTTAAGAAACCTCCAAACGAGGATGTATTAGTGGGTGCTTTACGATAAGTTGGTTGAAATATCGAGTGAACTGTTGGGTGTATGGTGATGAAAAAACAACATATATATATAATCATTATACGTATAGTTACATGTGGTTGTGAACTAACAAAAAAAAACAACGGGACCAGCGTGCTGCAAACGGGTTTTCACACAGAGTGTAAAAGTCGGTGCTTACCCGCTGCCAGCGTTCCTGGTTTTTCGGGAAAGGTTCCATGGTTGGATTCATCCATTGCTCACATAAAATCAAGAGCGTCCCAACGTCACCACCAGCACTATGAAACGCTAAAGTGCTAAGAAACTGAGGGCCCGGGTATTGTTTCGGTGCGCTGAAGCATAACCATCATCTCCCTTCAGGATATGTTTGCTGTGAATTACTCTCATCCCCTGAATATTTTTCACGCCTTCCAGAAACCATGGCTTATCATGGCTTAGTAGGGAATCTATACATTGTATTGGGACCATTTTTTCAATGGATGGATTGAATTTTTTCAAGGTCTGTTTGAGCCATTGAGCCCCAGGAGCTTACATCAACCTCGAATGCATCTGCACCTTGCAGAAACTCATGTGCCCGGCCAGCGCGAGCGTTGGGGCTGCTAGGGCCGCGTTGGGGCCGCTAGGGCCAGGTTCTGCTAGGTTTTCTGAGGCTAGCCTCCACTCAACAACCAATAGGATCCAACTTGTGGTTGATAAATAGGTCAAACCGGCCATTTTTCCTAGGACAATATTGGTTAGGATACGATTTTTGGATATTTGTTGAGAACCAACCCATCCAAACAGGGGAAACATGACTTTGACTTTGGGCCAAAATTCATGGCGACTTTGCCAAAAAGGGGCGGATATCACAGATGATACATAAATGTATATATATACATACATATATAGGCCGAAGAAAGGAATACCACCAACCAGAATTTATCTGCTACAGTGGCTGAGAAAACAAATTGGATTCCCGAGATCACCTGCAGAATCCCGAGTCTGCTGTTTTTTTGTGGGTCAAAAGTAATTTCCAAGTATATTTGATTATTAGTTCGAGGGTTAGTATATTTGATTATATAGTATATTTGATTTAGATTTTATATATGATTTAATATATTCTTATTCTTATTTTTTAATGTTTTTTGTGTTAGTATATTTGATTTAAAAGTTTGTGTTAGCAGGTTGTCATTGTGTTAGTAGGATTTTATTTCTCTCTCTGGGCTTTGCTATATTTGCTTAGTTAAGCAAATATGATGCTAAAGACCAACAATTCCATCTGTGGTTTTCCTTGAACTTCAGAAGATATCCCATACTCCATGAAACACCCAGCTAAATCACAACAAAAATCCCATTAAAATCCAATAAACCCCATCAATCCAGCCAGGCGCTCCAGTCGCTCCAGTCGCCGTTCGCAAACTTTGGGTCGAGGTACCACCCAGACAACGTGGTGAAGCTCTTTGTGGCGCGGATTCTCCAAAACGTCCCCAGCCCTCAGGCGGCGCGCAATATGTGGCAATGGCTGGAAACTTCACTGGTTGGTAAAACCATAGGAAAACCATAGGAAAACCATAGGAAAATGGTGATTTAACCAGCAACAATGGAGATTTATAGAATTCTGGTTGGTGGTTTGGAACATTTGGATGATTTTTCCAGATATTGGGAATAATCATCCAATTTGACGAACTCATATTTTTCAGAGGGGTAGGGCTCAACCACCAGCCAGTTCACCATTGATCATTCTCCCAGCCAAAAAAAACCTGATTTAACCTTTATTTTCCCATCAATTTAATGGATGATTTTGGGGATTTCGGGGAAAATTCCGACAAAAATTGATGATTTTCCCTGGTTTAAAGGGGATGTCCCAGCCATGTTTGATTACAGAAATTTCAAATGGCTGAGTAGCGGCCGGGATTGATGTAACCCCACATGGCCATCATGAATCATAGTCTCACAATTCATAGTTCTCACACTATTTAAAGAACCTATATTTTCAGACAACAATTCTATGTTACTTGTTGATTTAATATGAATATCAATATATCACATTGTAGACTTTATCATAACATCATTATATAATTTGGGTTATTTTACTTACAATCATAATAGTCATATTTGATAGCAACCTCATTTGACCTCACTATAGATGATGGTTAGGAGTGGGAAGATCATCCCCAAATAGCCAAAAAAATCAGGTTTTTGACGGGGCTGCGGTCTGGCAAATAACAGGGAACTTTTTGCCTTATTTCAGGTTAGTGCATTACCATAATTTTCCCAGATTCATATTCGAAGCATCGTATTATGTATTATCAGTCATAGATTACTGTCATTACAATCATCATATTCAGAATGCTTGATAATACGGATTGAATACATTAATATCAAACTATGTATACTATCCTTTTGAATTATTACACTCATTGTATGGAGGTCTCCTGAAATGGGTATACCCCCTGCCATCATCCAGTCGTCATGCAAAACCATTACTTAGCATAGAAACCCATGGTTTTTGGGAGCCCGCATTTGAAGAAACCTCCAAATGAGTCAATGAGGATATATTTGTAGGTGTTTTATGGTGTTTTATGATAAGTTGGCTGCAATATCCAGTGAACTGTTGGGTTTATGATGATGAAATAACAACATATGTATTGTATACTATCATTCTTATTTGTTACAATCATTATATGGAGGTTTCCTGAAATGTGGATACCCAGTACTTGACCACTTGACCGCCATGATACTATCATTTTGAATTATAATATTCAGTCTATTTTACTATCAGAATGACTTATAATTCAAAATGATAGTACAGTATAACATAGTATAATAGCTGGAAAAAAGCTGTATTTTGTAATATTTTGTATACCTTCTGGTAACTTAACATAGCTATTGAAAATTTCCCATTCACTTCGTTGATTTACCGTTCTTAAAGATGGTGATTTTCCAGTTCGCAAACTGTTAGTTTACCAGAGGGTAAATGCCTATGAAATCCAATTACTGCAAATGATTAAATGCCTATGAAATGTCATTACATGCCTATTAAGATACTCTATTTTGTATACTAATACGATTTTATAATGCCATCAAATGCCATTCAATGCCTATTAAATTTGAATCCCATTCAATGCTTATTCAATCCCATTATAATCACTATATTAAACTCTGTATTATATTTACAATCAACATGTTACAGAGGCTGTGGAGAGTTCCAAGGAGGTCCTCGGCAGTCGAACGGTGCTTGGCCAAGAAAAATTATCAGCGACCGGGGCCGGTTCGAGTAACGGCAATGGCTAGAGAAATTAACGATAAAAAGGTTGGGATAACGCCGGGATAACACCATGAACCTTTGGATATAACTGATTTAACCAACACAAGTTTTTAGGAGTTAACCATGAACAATGGTGATTTGAGAAACAAACATGTTGATTTTGGTGTTTTCAGTAGGGATTCAGCCATCATTTTTGTTGAGATTTAAGCATCAGACTGCTCTACCCATGACACATCTGGATTTTCACCTTCAGAACTTCATGAAAATGGGAATGTTTACCATGAAAACTTGATAAAACTTGTGTTTTTTTTCGCCATCAACCGATGGACTTTTGGGAGACACATTTTTTGGACATCCGAGATTGGCAATGATCACAAGAACCACCAAATGAAATCCCAATGTTGGAGCCATGTCTAACATCTGTATGATATGTCAAGTTTCAAACACTTCGCAAAGCTTCATGTTTTATTTCTAACTACGCCTGCCGGCCGATATTTGGTAGAAGCGAAACAATCTCCCGAAAACCTCACCAAAACCTCACCACATATGGAGAATGTTGTACATGTTGGGGGCCTCATAGTCGATAATTAATTGACCCAGCTTAGGACACACACTTTGCCAATGTCTTATTGCAATGATTAAGCAATATTATTCTTGTATCATCATTAATGGATATTATTGGTCAATTTATATTTAATATAGATTCCATATAGTATATTCATATAAATAGCGGGATAAAATATTGGTTAACCTTTCTCAACAAAAATCTGCTGGATTTGGTTGATTCACCTACGGTAGTAACAGTTTTTTTTTAAAAAACAAAAAACATGTGAAGTATTATTTTTAGTTTTATTATTACTATATATATTCCATTCTTACAGATTGTTGATACTTTTTGATCAACATCAAGTATTCATTACTACCGCTTGGTTAATTGATCAATTATATACTATACATTGTTTTAGCTCCTTATTTTTCATGATCCCTTCATATAGTTGCCCAAAAATGCCACAAATGAATGGGTTTTGGAAAATGGAACTAGTTCACCACACGTAATAACATCAGCCAACATTTTCCAGTTACAGTTGCCATAATTGTCCATCTGTGCAAAACATGTGCTATTATGAATTGTGGACCTATTTCCTATTTCTATTTGTTCGATTACTTTTCCTATTATTATGAATGTGTAGTATTGTTTGATTAGAAAAAAACAACTATATATATATGTCTCGATTTATTCACAAAGTTATGGATTAGATAAGAACAATATCTACATACACATTTTCCATAATCCACTTTGCCATAATCATCATTATACTATATTATATATACATATTATGGATTATTTTAACATTTCCTTTTTCCATCATCCAGTCATACATTTGTGATGTTTTTTTCTCATGGAAAGAGAGCTACTGTGTTATGATTGCTGGACTCATGGACGTATTTCTCCTTCCAAGAAAGTTTTTCCGAGCCAGGTTAATGAATCTAAGAATGGACGTACCCTCTGGTAAACTAACATAGCTATTGAAAATGGCCAGTTATAGTGGAATTTCCCATTAAACATGGTGATTTTCCATAGCTATGTTAAATTACCAGAGGGTATTTCCTATTTCCCCACCTGCCAGGTGAGGGTTGTTAGATTTTATCTAAGTTGCCTTCTCCTGCCTCCTCTCCTCCTCCTCTCGTCGTCCTCCTCTCGTTGTCCTCGTCGTCCTCGTCGTCCTCGTTGTCCTCCTCGTCCTCCTGCTCAACTGCGACTCGCGATCCACAGTGTTCTCTGCCGGACCTCCACCACGACCATCCACGCCCAGTGTTCCCTGCCGGACCTCAACCACGACCATCCACGCCCAGTGTTCCCTGCCGGACCTCAACCACGACCATCCACGCCCAGTGTTCCCTGCCGGACCTCAACCACGACCATCCACGCCCAGTGTTCCCTGCCGGACCTCAACCGCGAGTATCCACGCCAAGTGTTCCCTGCCGGACCTCATGTAGGAAGATATGGGACAAAGAATGTGCAGAAGGAAGTTAGAAAGAATGTCAGAAAGAATGTCAGAAGATATGCCAGAAGATATGCCAGATAGAATGCCAAATAGAATGCCAGATAGAATGCCAGAAGATATGTCAGAATATATGCCAGAAGATATGCCAGATAGAATGCCAGATAATATGCCAGAAGATATGCCAGATAGAATGCCAGATAGAATGCCAGAAGATTTGCCAGATAGAATGCCAGAAAATATGCCAGAAGATATGCCAGATAGATATGTCGGAAGATATGCCAGAAGATATATGCCAGAAGATATGTCAGAATATATGCCAGAAGATATGTCAGATAGAATGCCAGAAGATATGTCAGAATATATGCCAGAAGATATGCCAGATAGAATGCCAGATTGAATGCCAGAAGATATGTCAGATAGAGTGCCAGAAGATATGCCAGATAGAATGCCAGAAGATTTGCCAGATAGAATGCCAGAAGATATGCCAGAAGATATGCCAGATCATATGCCAGAAGATATGCCAGATAGAATGCCAAATAGAATGTCAGAAGATATGTCAGATAGAATGCCAGAAGATTTGCCAGTAAGAAAATGTATAAATGTCATGGTGGGGATCACACGAAGTAAAGTAATTATGTTTTTTTTCCACATAGTGTTCCTATGTTTTTTCCGATGATCATTGGTTGATTCACCAAGCCGCCCAAGCCTTCGGTAACCTTCGCATTTTCCCAGGTCGCTCTTGCTGCAGTGATGCAGCACCTTGGTGAAAAATGATTTTACCAAGCAAACATGGGGATGGGTCAAAGCCCTATCCCCCTGGTGAACATCAAAATAGCTGGGATTTATGGATGTTCATCCCACTAAAAATGGTATTAATAGGTATTGATCCATACCCACATGGATTGCAAGTGACGAATTCACAGTGATCATCAATATATTATTACTCTGAATTCACTTTTTTACATGAATTATGGGGATTAAATTAATTATTGATTGGTGACATGGGGATTACTGATCAATAATTGATGATTAATTGTAATAAATTCACAGGTTTTACTGTGAATTATGGGGATACATGATTGATGAAAATTATAGGTAATTGATGATTAGCTCAATGATTACCCTCTGGTGAACTAACATAACCATGGAAAATCACCATTTTTAATGGGAAAATCCACTATAAATGACCATTTTCCATTGCTATGTTAGTTCACCAGAGGGTAATGTTGGGGACTAATGATGGACCGCCAAAACTGCACGGAACTCCATGGTTCCAAGGTCATTGGAGTTGCGCCGCTGTATTCGCCAAGACAAGGGCGGCCATAGTCGGTAATGTCAAGCCCGGATGAGACTAAAACATGTTTTATGATTTTTTAGTAATTAGGGGGTACTCCTCCAATAGTCATTTCATCTGATACTTGTTTATGGTATTCCACCAATTAAACAACCGTAAACAGGGTTTATTTATTCAGGGTTGACATCATAGTATCACCAAGACCAGGAAGAAAAACACATGAGCAGCGAGAAGAACATGACGTTGACATCACAGCTGATTGAGAGATGTTTCGGACTGGGCTCCGACTTCTAGCGAGGTTTGGAAAAGCCTTAGAATTTGTGATGGAATGTTTCAAGCAGGCGCTTGGGCAAATCAAACTGGTGAGTTGGGCATGGAGTTGTCGTTTTTTTGTCCTACGACCATCTCTATATGTGGATATTCACCATCAATTCTTCAGGAAAATCGGGATGTAAACAGCACAAAATGGATCTCATGTTGAAGCAACTGGTGACTGGTGAAGTTTGCCATGTTTGGGGACGTGCATTTATCCGCTAGCTAGTCTTGGGGTACCTACCACAGGCCATGTGATGGGGTTGCCAACCACAAATCTGTAGTTTGTGTAGAATTGAACCATGTTTTTTGAGATCGTAGGCTTTTCCCGTGTACTCGTAAGAATGGATTATAAGCATAGTTATGATAGTGATCACGGTCATTAAAAAAACACCTACAATCCTGCACTGACCATTTACCCCATTTCTGATTCATTATATCGCCACTACTTCATATACCCTCTGGAAATTTAACATAGCTATTGAAAATGGTCATTTATACTGGATTTACCCAATGAAAATGGTGATTTTCCATAGTTATGTTAGTTTACCAGAGGATATCCCTTGGTATAAGCCAACCACAATGGTCATGAATGATTTTGACCCAAGAAATTGGGTTTAAATTACCATCCTAACAGCAATAAACCCTGCCATGAGTTTGGGGTTGGAAGATTACTTTCCACTGAAATACATGGGGTCTGTGAATTTGCTGGAGGGTATCATTTTCCTTGGTTCCGGGACTTGGTTGCAGGCATATCCATTCAATTTGGCGGCAAGAAATCATGATTTCGAGCAAGGATGTTCCCAAAAAAGCAGTTGCTAGATGATTACACTAAGTAAATATTCGATCAGTCTTTGTTCTCTTTGCACATAATTGCACATACATAGTAAGTGTTAATACACAACACGTACATTACACATACATACACATATGTGTGTATATATATATATAACTACTACTACCAGATATATACACATAATTTCAAGATATACATATACATAATGTGTGTGTATATATATATGTATATATATATATAAATTAGAGTGACCTCACTGTGACCAAACCCTCGAATCATGGTCAGTAAAGTGAATTTTCCCAGTACCAACTATAATACGACCTATATAACATCTATTTATGCTTTGTTATACAGTGTGGATAAAACAATGATACTATATATATATACATTTATTATAACTATCAACTATAAGTGACTATAAATACCAACATTATATCAACAATAATTTCATATCTAATGTGGATAAGTATGACTATACGCTCTGGTAATGACTAACAGTTTGCTATTGAAAATGGCCATAGAAATCGTTGATGTGCCCTCTGGTAAACTAACATAGCTATGGAAAATCACCATTTTTAATGGGAAAACTCACTATAAATTGTCATTTTCAATAGCTATGTTAGTCATTACCAGAGGGTAAAATCCCATCAATATCCCCATTGTTTGTAAAAACGGTAAAATCCCATGTCATCAATCACCATGAAAATCCCTATGAAACCATATTAAACTATTAAACCCATGTAACATAATCCTTATTTCTATCAAATGGCTGGATTTTCCAAAAAGACCAGGACCGCGAGATCGTCTTGGCCGCCGTGACGCAGAACGGCGAGGCCTTGAGCTTCGTCGGCGCCTGGCAATGCGACGAGGACGCTGCCTGTGCGAAAGGCAGAGATTCAGCGGAAATGGACGGTTTACCTATGGAAAATCCATTATAAATGGAGGTTTTATGTGATTTAACCACTGTCAATGGTGATTTGATGGTGACTTATCCTCTGGTAAACATACAAAAAGCTATTGAAAATGGCAATTTATAGTGGATTTTCCCATTAAAAATGGTCCATTTTCCATAGCTATGTTAAATTACCAGAGGGTAACCAGCAAAGATGGTGATTTAAGGGGGATTTCACCAACAAACGTACTGATTTTACCAGCAGGGATGGTGATTTAACCAACAGAAATAGTGATTTAACCAGCAAAAACGGGGGACTGAAGTAGTAAAAGTGTGGTTTTGCTGCAGATGAGTTTTTTTACCCAATGTAAAATCCACTGCATACTTGGGAAATCTATAGGGAATATGTTTCGTTTTTAAGGGACCCCTTACGCAAATTCAAGTAAACATCTGGATATTTAACCATGAAATGTGCGGGAGAGCAACCTGCAGCTGGATTTAAGCATTTGGATAAGTATACAGTATATGTTTTTTAGTGGGTTTCATCCATCAACAATGGGATGATATTAATGAATATCAATGATGGTTGCTTGAAAGTTGATTCTCCTCGGGGCCTGGTTATACTTGGTTGATCGATGTAGAAATTTCTTGGATTCGATTGACCCATGGAGTGCCAGGAAATCCCCGCTGTTCGCGGTCCTTTTCCGCTTGTGGCGGAGGTCAGGTGCAGTCATTTCCCGATGGACCGATGCCTGGATTGGTCTCTACATCGTGCGAAAAACGTGCGAAAAACGTCGACGGCCGCCGCCTATCGTGCGCTGGATGCGAAGAATGATCTCGATGTCTGGACTATTCTGGACTTCCATTTGCTGCCATCAATCCTTACTAGGCCATCAATCTGATACTTTTTTATGGCACCCTCGCGCAATTAAACAGCCGTAAACGGGGTTTATTAATCCAGGGTTGACATTATAGTATCACCAAGAGGAAGACTATTGGAAAATCCAATTACTATATTGTCAATCCTATATATTGTTTGGATTTTCCAATGTTTGGATTACTATAAAATATGGTGATTTTCCTTCATAGTGATCCAAACATTGGAAAATCCAAAGATATCATGCTGGGACGGCTGGCACGCGCTGAGTGTTTAAGGATCATCCCCAGTTGCCAACTGGGATCCTCCATCCGTATGTATTCGACCGTCTCAAATGATGAAATGGGGGGTTCCATAATTGCTGGTACCCCAAAACTTCTGGTTTATAATGGAAAATCCATCTATAATTGATGATAACTGGGGGTACCCCTAATTTAAGAGACCTCCAAATGCTTATTTTCAACCAATCACCGGGTTTTCCCAGATCCAAGCCCCTGCGCTATTTTTTAATGCCTTGGGGCTAGGGTAAACATGCAAGAACCATATTAGGAACATCCATGGTTTTACATGGTGGATTTTTGCGGGGCTTTTCCATATGATGTCTTTTCATTTTTTGCAGGCAATACCCTCTGGTAAACTAACATAGACCCTGGCAGTCATCGGGGTAAGATGAGTTTCAACTAAACAATGGCTATTTTCAGGGTCCAACTGTTAATTTACCAGAGACTTTTTGTGCTATTATTAAAGGCAATTGGCCCCAACTTTCAAAAGCTGGGCTGCAAGCCGATTACGAGCACATCTGAGCGGATAGCCTGAGTTATGGGTCTCAAAGCCAGTTGCGACTGCGACTGCGACGTCATTTCTTTCATTGATATAAATGATAGTACAAGTAAAGGGACTCTTATCAACAAACGAACATTAAACAAACAGCGCGTTGGTGAAATATACGTCAGCCAGATTTGGTTTCTTGGGATCCGTTGGGTCAACGAGTCAACCGTGGATGTTTTCATGAGAATTTAGCCCTGACATCTCTGGATAAGAAACACCCATTACCCGGCCTGGTCAACGTTTACATAACGAACTGGAAAATCCACCATTTTGAATATGTCATTCAACTATTTCTACAGGGTATTTTTTCGATAGCTATATGTTAGTCACGTTAGTACGGGAGAGGGTATCCCACTACACCAGCACTTGGGTTTTTTCCTGATCAATTCCCATAAGTTCCTATCAATTCCATCAGTTTTTGCTAGATTTTGCCACTTTCCATTGGATCATCATGATCATGGAAGGAGATTGTGGTGGCTGCAGTGACGCAATGCGGCCCCTTGACTATGAAGCTGTTGGACTTCCGTGAGAAATTTTTGCTGGCAATTGAATATGGTTTGTCGCAAACACATGGAGATTCGCCCATGAATCTTTTGGATAAACCAACTGAGTTGGGAAGCAACACATGTTGGACTTTTTTGAGTGAACCGGTCGGGCAGAATAAAGCAATGATATGTTGAACAAAAAATGATTAGCGCAGATTAAAACCGGTAGAATCAGTTGTACCTGTTCAAGTTGGGAGTTGCACTACCCAGAAAAAATAGAAGAGAAAGGTACTACCAAAGGTACATGGATTTTGTTGCAGTTTTTTCACGCTTTCAGTCATGTTTTTACCGATTGGTGTTTTCCACGGTCTGAAAAATTCGACGCAAATCTTGGCGGGTCGGATCCGGGATCCTTTTTTCGTCCCAGCAACAAGGGTTTCAATATGTTTCAATGGGGCCTGTAAGATTTGGGAGCTGAAAATCCCCCATGTTTATAGGTCAACGGTGGTCAACGGCCATGGCATTTTGCTGGACTCAGTCGTGGCTTTTGAATGCATTGAATCCCCATCTTTTTCATGGTAAAACTGAAGCATTTCTGATGGATTTCCACCGGTTGGTCATCCATATTACCTATCAACCCTCACTGCGATGCAATGGTTATAAGTTCGTTTATAAGCCCTGGTAGCCTCTGGTAAACTAATATAGCTATTGAAAATTTCCATTTATAGTGAATTTTCCCATTAATAGCATGGTGATTTTCCATAGTTACGTAAACGTTTACCAGAGGGTAGCTTTCCCGTAGGGATAGATCATGATTGCATGTAAACGCAGAAACTGAAATGTCAGTTGTCACACACTCAGTGCGGGCTCAAATTTTTCGGACCCCGTCCACCCACAACCTTGGTTTCACAACTGATCCATGACACCTCAATCAGTTTTTAGTGTCCCTGCACATTTTTTAAACAATCCTTCATGTCTCAACATGGTCCCTAAATGTCCCTCATGTACATTGTCGCTTGAATTTTCAGCCACTCGTGAAATGGCCATTGCTGTGCATTACCCTACGTCCTTGCAACAACTGCTACTGCCAATCCTAGTTGCGGACCGCCGCATCTCACCAATGTGTACGGGTCCATCACCCATTGCATCACGATGCTTCGCGGGATCATCATTGATCTTCAGATCTGGAAATTGCAGCACCTCGCCGCTTTTCAACGTCAGTTGCACCAAGTCTTGCGGCGGCAGCGAGCTCCTTGTGTTGACCTGGACTTGGATTGATTCCTCCAACGTGGCCATATTCTCCTTAGTGTACATTTGTACAATAATTTCGGGGCCTACCCCTGCCGTTGACGGCCAGCGACAACCCCATTTTGTGAGCTGTGCAAGTTTGCAAAGCAATATATAAATTAATCATAGTCAATTATAGTTTATAATCACCTGATTCGTTGGTTCAGCTAGTTATAAACCAACTTAGTGACATAAATCAACTATAGATGCCAATTGTTGGTGGATCAGTAATCCTTTTTTTGGTTGGTTGGACCAATATTATTCAATCCCCGTTTGTTATGTTTGTTGGTTTACGTTATATACCCCGTCTAACTATAGTTATATCCACCATAAATCTAATCGCTAGCCTAGTGAAATAACCCAACTTAATTACCTATCATAGATCACAACAAATGTTTATTGGTTTTTTGTCCCATACAAAATCCAAAATTTGTGATTTTTCACTCTCTTAGTGGGATGAAAACTCCCTAGTTTTTTTCCCTCGTTTTTTGCGGACTCCTAGTTTCTCCCTAGCTTAAGTCCCTAGTTTTGTTAGTTAAACCCCGAATAAACCGTTGATGTTTAAATCCCCATGTTGGTTGAAATCCACATAAATTTGCTGCTTGAATCATGACATCTTTGTTGATCAAATCACGATTTTTCTTAAGGTGAAATCTCTGTTTTTCATCATCTTTGCTGGTGAAATCATGAGTTTTGTGGTCCAAAAACACCTATTTTTCTTGGTGAAAATCGCCATTTTTGGTGAGACCCCCATCTTTTGGGAACCCAAAGCAGCATCGAGGCTCAGCGGCACAGTTCGCCGCCCCAGAGCTGATTGCACGGCATCCAGGGCTGCAGGCGGTGCTCCAAGGCACCGATCTCAGAGACCCCCGGGTCCCATCCCGAAATATTCACTAGGCCACTAGGCTATGAGTAATGATGAAAATTAGTTGTATAAATGATATTGGTGATATTTAATATTATTTAATTATATGCACTAATAAAATTTCTTAATGATCACCAATTTATATAATGATGAAAATTAGTTGTACTAACCCATGACGGATCCATGTATGGTATATATATGCTAACATGACTGGGGTATATTGATGGGATCCATGTTACCATATATAGCATACAACCCGGTAATGTCAACCCCGGATTATTCAACCATGGTTTATGAATTAGGGGGTACTCCCCAAATAGTCATAATCTGATACTTTTCATGGTATTCCACCAATTAAGCAACCGTTTAGGGTTTATTAATCCAGGGTTGACATTATATAATGATGAATTTAGTTTTACTAATATTACGTAATAGTATAGTAACTAATAGAGAATATTAGTTATATTATCCAGAGGAGGAAACTAATCCAATGTAATGATCATGATATTAATAATTATTGGTACAATACTATCAGACTGTAATATTATTCAACCAGTAATATTATATATTAGATTATATTAGCAACTCTATTCTTAGTAGCTATTGGTACAATATTACTATTTCTAATAATGACAATATACAGATAATAGAAAGTAAATAGTATAACTAAAGAATACAAAATATTAATATTAGTGAGATAATTAATTTCTAATATTAGTTATATACTGATAATGATATATTGGTACCAGATATTAGTTACTATCTATTGGTACAATACCATCAGAAATGGTCTGATAATGATATTAGAAATTATTGGTACATGATATTAGACATGATAATAGTTAGATATTAGTATTATTGGTAGTATTGGCACATGATATCTTCTAATTACTAATATTTATTAGATATTAGGTATATAATGATATCATAAATTCTTGGATTAGAAATTATATTTCTGTATGTATTGGAAATGATAATGATAAACCGTAATTAGTTATAGTACATATGATAGAGATATTATTCAGAGGAGGAGACTAATCCAATATAATGATAATGATATTTGAAATTGTTGGTACAATACTATCAGACTGATATTAGTTACTAGCCATTGGTCAATCAGTCCAGAAATATAGTATTGATTGATTACTAGACAATTATCCCATTAATGGAATATTCTGGCCTATATTTAATCTATTAATTATATAGCCATATTACTGTAATGAATATCCTGCTGCATTCGCGTTGGTGTTCTTCATTGCCCTTGGTGATTTTCCAGCTGGAGCCTGACCTTTTGTTGGCGATTCTGCAGCGTTACATGCGACCTTGTGATGATGCAGGGCTCGACCTTTTTAAAGAGGACATGCCTGAGATGACAAAAACCGTACCTATTTGGTTTAGCTCTCAGGAGGACGACCAGGTCCCATAGGTTTGATCTTGCCGTTTTTGAACCTCGACCAGGTCCCAGATCCTCCACTAATAATATGTACTATTAATCTTACTAATAATGTGGGTGATGCAATGTCATAAACCACCCATGACTGGGAATGGTTTGAATCCCACCTAAAACATGGTGATTCGGGGGATGGTTTATTGTTTTACCCAAATTACTGATATAAGATGAGGCTAATATCCCCTATGACTTAAAAATCCCGAATCAATAAATCCTGAGTGTTTTATAGATAGCCCCTAAAACACCTTAAAAACGAGAATGGTTTGTTGTAGCGGATGAAACCCAACCGCCTCGATGGGTAGTGGAAATTCCTTGAGTTTCTTGCTCTGAATGGAAATTAACCAGCCAAGCAGCAAAAAGAAAAATATTGACTACCAAAGGTTGACCTTGGAACGAGGAGAGTACACTAAGTGATGTGCAGCTGTTTTTTTTAGATAGTTGAAATGATGTTCAAACATGTTCATTTTTCAATGACCTGATTTCTTTAGAACCATGCTTCAAGAGCAATGTTGAACTGGAAAAGAAATGGGTTTTTCTCTGATTTGGGTTTGTTTGAAATTGTACGAGCCCAAAATTTAAGGATGGGGTATCCACAAACAGAGGGTATATTACCATTATTAAAATGGGGTAACATTTTTTAAAATGTACTGATACCCCATTGTATATTACCAATTTCCACCAACATTTAGTTTTTAAAATGGGGTATCCACATTTTTGAGACAAATCCATATCTTCAGCTTAGCATTTTTTCGATAGCGATGTTTAGTTCACATTACCCAATCGGTAAACAGAACACATTTTGGTATTGTCTATTATCTTTGGTTAAATGGTCAAAATCCAGATATGTCAGTCTCCCGTTGCTTAAAACGCTCAAGTCGGCCAATCTTGACGAACAGACTAGGGCAAAGCCAAACGCCCAAACATGACTGGGAGAATGACGGTTGAGGCCTGTTGAATCGATTGTTTTTTTTTGGGAGAAAATGGGGCAGGCCCAACAATTCCACTATAGACTGCAGATTATGACACTATTAGACTATTTGGGAGTACCTTAAATATACATTAGATTATTATACTATTATACTATACTATTCTACTATTAAAACCATATATATAGATATACTGTTTCCCCATGAAAAATGGTCATTTGGGAGTACCCGTTCAACTCCATAAATTCATCGCGAAGATCAGGAAGAGCTTTGGGCCTTTGCGGCAACTACTTGGCTCCTCGCAGCAAATTTGGATATTCCAACAGGGAAAGTTGCGTTGTAGACTCCTGGGGGTTTAACTGCTATGGATGTGACTTGGGTGACTTGGGACATGATGGGGGTTTAAACTCAACATTTAATTATGGATATACCGCCACCATTTAACTATGGTTTATAACCGGATATAATGGGAACATCAACTATAAATGGGATATACCCTCTGGTTATGATTAACATAGCCATGGTATAGATGGCCCATAGAAATAGATGGTTTACCGTTCTTAAAAATGGGTGGATCTTTCCATGGCGAACTGTTAAATAACCAGATGGTAATTATGGATATACCGCCACCATTTAAGCTAAACTTAGTTGGGGATACCCTAGTTTGAGCTTGCGCTGCTACTCGCGAGAGGGAAACAGCATTTATGGAACCAGTTTTGGACCCAACTGGGGGTTCAGAAACCAAAGATCGGGATCTAACCCTCAAAATATGGATCAAGCGGTGGTAGGTGAAGTGCTCAATTCTTGTAACATGGGACACTGGCATATCATCAAATACAGTACCCTCTGGTAAACGAACTAACATAACTTGGAACATCACCATCATTTTTTATGGGAAAACTCACTATTTCAATGGCCATGGCTTCAATGTCGCAAACTGTAAACGTCATTACCAGGCCGGGTAGCTTGTGCAGGGGATCTCCGCTTAATTCTGGGATACCCCTAATGATAGTGCCAGTTGGATCATAGGGATAGAATTGCAACAAAGGTGGTGAAACCGAAATGGACATTCAACGGAACATACCCGGCCTGGTTATGTCAAAATAGCTATTGAAAATGGCCCAGTCGAAATAGTGGATGACTACCCATTGATAGCATGGTGATTTTCCATAGCTATGTTAACGTTTACCAGAGGGTACCAGTTATGAGGATTTATAACACCATTTATGTTGTTATTTTTTTATACGACTTCTTATCAAGGACCCAAGATGATCTTGTTGGGGCGCTAAGCCGCTATGATAGATTCATGGTTCTTAAGATGATAGCTGGCGTCGAAAATTCATCAAACATTTGGTGTAGAATTGTGCATGGTTCAGATTCGCCCGGTTAATGACTGGTTAATGACTGGTTCTTGGTCGGTTGAATCCTGAGGAAAAGGTGTAGCTGTGGATTGCGAAGGCTTGAAACCAACAAGAATTCTATTGGTGGTAAAGTAAAATTCCACTGAAGTAGAACAGATGTTTGTATACATGTCTATATGATTTGTTTGATCTAATCGGTATGCAAATGATATATATATATACATATTTAAAACTAGTGAATGGCCATAACTGTAGATAAATGGTGATAAATGATACACCTTCCACTCAGACATGGCTGGAACACCATCCAGCTGGATGCTTTTCCCAGGTAAAAACCTCCATTTATAGGGGGATTTCTCCATATGTTCCCATGATTTTTTCCCATGATTTTCCGATATTTTCCCATGAAAGACCTTGGGATTTCCCAGTTATCCATTGATTTCCAGTTTTTTTTTGGGATTTCCCAGGGTCTTTTTTTTTTGGGTGATTGACTAGATTGAGTTTATACTGTATACCGTGTTGAATTTTATGATGTATATACTGTATATACTGTATATAGTATAGTTTGATGTGAGGTACAACTTTTGTCAGAGCCCCAAATTATCCCTCGACTTCCTTATCATTGGCGACAGGGTCCACAAACTTCGCGGCGTTCGCGTGGAAGTCTTTTCATGACGCCTTTCCTTGCTGCATTGCCGCGAGGATCTGCGTTCACAGTTGTATTGCCTGGACGGCTCGCGTGGTTTGAGAACAAGAAGCAACTCTCCAGTCTTTCCTACAACACAGCGAGTATAAACTACAAGGCAGTCCACGCCGCTCTAATGAGAATGGCTTTGAAGTCGGAAAACTTAAAAAAGAGTGAAAGTCTTTGCAAAAGTCGAACCAGAAGACTTCAAGTCGCTGTCGGACAAAAACATATCTATGTTACGGCGCATGATGCTGGATGCATTCATGAGGAAGCAGCATGTTTCAACCATTCAAGGACGAATCATCGGTTCAAAGCGGGATTTTTTTTGGGTGCAGTTCCGGTTGTAAGTGGATATATTAAATTTACATATATATATACATGAATACCCATAATATACCCTCTGGTAATTTAACATAGCTATGGAAAATCACCTTTTTTAATGGGAAAATCCACTATAAATGGCCATTTTCGATAGCTATGTTAGTTTACCAGAGGGTATATATATATATTATATACATGAATACCCATAATATACCCTCTGGTTATGACTAACATAGCCATGGAAAATAAAATGGCCCATAGAAATAGATGATTTTCCCAGCGATCGAAACCTCCATTTATTTTGGGGATTTTCCATGGCGAACTGTTAAATAACCAGATGGTATATGGTTTATATCCCAAGTTGGGGGGCTAAGATACCCTCTGGTAAACTAACATAACTATGGGAAATCACCATTTTTAACGGGAAAACTCACTATAAATGGCCATTTTCAATAGCTATGTTAAATTACCAGAGGGTAGCAATCTGATCCCCATGAAAAATCTCAGCTCCGACTGCTGAGTCAATCTCAGGTCATTGAGGAAGTGGGCCGAGGTGTTTACGGTGCAGTGTCACGTGCTGAACATGTGCAAACTGGGCACGTGGTGGCCATCAAGAGCTTTGGCTGGTGAAGTGGAAGTGGAAGTGGAGAAATCCATTATATATAATTATATATATATACACTGGTTGGTGGTTTCAAACATTTTTTTTATTTTCCATAATATATGGGATAATCCTTCCCATTGACTAATATTTTTCAAGATGGTTAAAACCACCAACCAGTATAAGTTGGTCTATAAGCCATTATAACCCTCTGGTAAACTAACATAACTATGGAAAATCACTATGCTATTAATGGGTAAATCAACTATAAATGGCCATTTTCAATAGCTATGTTTGTTTACCAGAGGGTATACAGGATGGGGCCCACCAGTTATAAGTTGGTCTATGCCCCATTATAACTTAACCCCCATTAACTTCAGCCACTTATAAGGCAACTGAACGCTATCTTGGGGGCCCCATCCTGTATAGAGCGAGTTGGGATTGTACAAAAAGACTTGGGGATTATGGATAATTACCACTATTCAAAAAATATGGACTAATTCATATGGAACATATATATATATACACATGTATATGAATTACAATGACTTTCACATTCCCCATGGTTCCATTCGCCAGTACAATGTGGGCATGTTGACATAGAAACCCATCATGGTTCGTTCGAAAAACGTGGTGAATTCCCATGGTTTTATCGTGGTGAACTCCAGAGTTTTCCACCTCCTTTTGGAAGGGACGCGACTCAAGAGCTGCCTGACAAACGACTCAGCCGTGGGGGTGGGATTTTGGGATTTTAATGGTGGTTTAATGGGGGTTTAATGGTGATTTAATAGGGATAGTAATGGTGATTAATGGTGATTAACCCTCTGGCAATGGAATATGAATGGCTTGTTGGTGGTTTGGAACATGAATTTTACGACTGTCCATTCAGTTGGGAATGTCATAATCCCAACTGACGAAGTCATATTTTTCAGAGGGGTAGGTATACCACCAACCAGTCTATATACAACTTAGCCCAAGGGCTGGAGGTTTCCGTCACAGTTATGACCATGGCTGCAACTTTCTTTTTACCTGGTTATTTCTATGGGATAAAAAACATAAACTATAAATGGGCTTAGTTCAGTACAAACATAACTGGTATAACTTGGGCCATTACTGTAGGTAAATCCCAATGATTGAGATCATGGGTGATCTCCCATGTTGCTGATAAAAACACATGTTTCATGGTTAAACATGGTTAACCATGGTTAAACATGGTTAAACCATCATGAAGAAAACATGTGAAAACTGGGTGAATCAAGATTTTGTTAAAAAAAAACGGATTTTTTTCCGGTGATGTCATCATTCCGCCGAGGAAGCTTCACTTTGAGGCTGATAATTGGGCGGATGGTGTTCCAGCGCATGTCTTGCGCGAGGCACCGACCATGGGAATTTCCGGATCTTTTAAGAGGGCACTTTTAGAGCGAGGCTGTTTTTTTGCGGCAGGTACCTCCAGTTTAGGTTGGGCAATGGCAATAAAGAGATTGAGTTTCTGGGTACCTTCTAATTATTCAACAGTTTGCTACGGATGCCATCGCCCATTTAGATCGATTATGAGGATTGTGCCAAACAAATCATCGTGATTTTCCAGAGCAAACCGTTAAAAAAACCAGAAAGTAAATTGTAGCGACCCCAGCCATGACCTTAACAGTTAGATGATGGGAATTGTTTTGGGAAATATGGGAGTTCTCCCAGATTTTTGCCTTTTTCTATCGGTGCCATGGTGAAAACATGATTTTGATTCTCCCGTGGAAGAGGCTAGTCGGCTAGTCATAGCTCCATCCAGGATTTATCATGGCCAATAAAAGGAATCCTAAAAATGGTGGGATTCGTACCCTCTGGCCCTCTGGTAAACTAACAGTTTGCTATTGAAAAAATTAAAAATGGCCCAGTCGAAATAGTTGATGACTACCCATTAACAGCATGGTGATTTTCCATAGTTATGTATAAACGTTTACCAGAGGGTATATGAGCAACCGCGTGTAGTTATCGAACAATTGAAAGTAGTATTCGGCGGCAGGATACTTCTTTAATCTGCTTATACTTCTCACACATATCAAATAAAAATTGTTATTCATATAGGATTAGGATCTTCTCAAGAAAACATATGGTGCAACTTCAGGACATGGATTAAAACGGCATGGATTTGCATGAACACATTTTTTGCCGCCTCAGGTGTCGTTGTTGAAAAGCTTTCAGCACAAGAACGTGGTAAGGTTGTTGGATGTGCTGGATGTTGGCATCTTGACTGAAGGGAACCATGGGTTGGTCCAATGACAGGTCGATGGGGTTTTGTTGGGCCCAGGACGCTGAGATTGGTAGACCCGTTGTAGCATATGATATGGATGCGAGTTGATACGTGAGTAAGAAGCATATGACATATATGAAATACCCAATACCCAATATTAGCGTTTTGTTTGCCGAACTTATGGATTTATAACCACATACACCATCTGGGACCCGCTCCCAAGTAGAATTGAAGTGGCATTTTTTAAGAACACAATAGACCATTTACAAGTCTGGGGAGGTAGGTAAAGCTTAGCAGGGTAGACTTTTAAATCTTTTTGATGGAGAAATAAGGAGAAAAAAAATCAGTTCTTGCCGCGCTTTTCGAAGTTTTGACATGATAGAGTCCTCATAAAGGGCCCCTCTGGTTATTGACATTCAGAATCCCTACTGACTCGTGCAGGATGCGGATGCCTTGAACATATTAATGACACCGGAAAATCCACCAGTTTTTTGTAGAATTTCCTATATGAAAACATATTACCCCCTGGTAAATTAACTGTTGGACCCTGATTTTATCACCCATTTTTAGTGGAAACTAAATAAACTAATCTTCCAACCCCCATCTGCCAGGGTCGAACTGTTATATAATTTATGTTAATTTACTGGAGGGTAAAAACATATTGAAACACATTAAAACCACATTTTAGGTCAAGGATTTTCCAAAAACGAGCGTGTCACGGCTGCCTCAGTCGTGTCGCTGGGGCTCCCTCTAAAAAGGGGGAGTCATCCACCATGGGCCACCCAGTTTAGCTTAGTTTCTGAAGCAAAACTGACCATCAATCTCAACATATCTCAACATTCAATGGATTGGTTTAAGGGAAAATCTTAACCGGAAACCATCGATTTTCCCATGAAGATCATGGGGCTTTCCTGTAATTTTTCCCTTAAATCAATCCATTGAAACATATCTCAACATATCTCAACTATATCAAATTCATATCTCAACTATAATTCATATCAAATCCCAGTTTTGAAATGAAATCAGCCGCAGCCTTTTTCTGAAATCATATCAAATCCCAGTTTTGGCTGGTTGAATCATGTTGAATTTCTATGTCAGCTGATAAAAATAGATATACTGGTTGGTGGTTTGGAACCTTTTTTATTTTTCCATTCAGTTGGGAATAATAATCCCAACTGACGAAGTCATATTTTTCAGAGTGGTAGGTATACCACCAACCAGTAGAATCAATGGATTGATTTAAGGGAACAATTACAGGAAAGCCCAATATTTCATGGGAAAATCGATGGTTTCCTGTAGATTTTCCCTTAAACCAATCCATTGATATGAACTGCTTAAATCAACTACTAAATCAACTGACAGGAATGGTGGATCGAGGTCCTACGGACCTACGACTGGTCTTCGAATATTTACCAAGTGTCCTGGCTGGAAGCGCCGCTCGGAAGAGCAGCATAGAAACTTATACTGGGGATCGTCACCAATCCGAAAATCATCCATTTTCAGGGCTCATGTGCCCATTACCCTCTCACAGGTGAACGTTTATATAACTCTGGAACATCACCATGCTATTAATGGGTAAATCAACTATTTCTATGGCCATTGTCAATAAAACTATGTTAGTTTACCAGAGTGTACAGAAAATTTGTAAAATGCAGTATATCCATGTATATCCGATGTCCATTTTTCGGGGTCGAAACACCAACCCAGGTAATAAGTACCAAATATATATATATATATATATTTGGTTGGTAATTGAATAGATAGACATATATGTGATGTTTTTATTCCAATATCCTCCAATATTCCTGTGTCCGTGTTGCATCCCGGGGCGTTTTTTGTCAGATCAGAGGAGGTGAGGTGCTCCACGGTGGAAATCACTGGACGAGATCATGGCAGCATCAAGGCGCCCACATTTCTGGGGCAACAGCGGATGCAAAGCCCCCAGCGTGCCCCAGCTTGCTGGTGGCCAGGGCAAGAAGGGGCGCGTGTGAAGGCCTACATGGCACTGTCAGAAGGTCACAAATCAGTGGTCCAGTTCGCGTTCGTCCCTGGGTTTGAATATGTTCGAATCATGTTGGTTTGGTGCGCTCCGTGCCATTGCGTGCAGTGCAGGGAAATCTGTGTAGCTCTGCACAAACTTACCAAAGAGATCTCACAGCAAAGAGATCTCATAGCCAAGAGATCTCACAGCAAAGAGATCTCACAGCAAAGACATCCCACAGCAAAGAGAAGGAAAGTCTCGGACGAAAGCTTGGTTTTCACATCTTCTACTTTCACTTTTTGAGGGACGTCTCGCACCAAAGCTTGGTTTTCACATCTTCCATCTTTACTTTTTGAGGGCAGTCTCGCACCAAAGCTTCATTTTCCCATCTTCCACTTTCACTTTTTGAGGGGCGTCTCGCACCAACGCTTGGTTTTCACATCTTCCACTTTCACTTTTTGATGGACGTCTCGCACCGAAGCTTGGTTTTCACATCTTCCACTTTCTCTTTTCCAGGGAAGTCTCGCACGAAATGCGTTTCTGAAAGCTAGCGGATGCACGTAAGGCTGTGTTTTGCAGGATGAAGCGTGTCTCGGAGGAAACTCATAAGAATGGTTTGCTTCCCGATCAAAATTTGAAGTTCAGCAAATAGAATACAATAGTATTTTGGGGGTATGTTTTATTGAAGGTCCCTGATTGCATGCTTGTCCCAGGCCCTCATGGATTTCTAGCCATTTCTTTTTTGCAACCATGCCCTTCAGAGAACGTGCAGAAAGGAAATCAACGAAAGTCTTAAGATAATGAGGTGCAATATCAAGCTTCATTCAAGGTATGAACTATTTATTTGTGGGCGATCCTTTCAATAATTTATAAATAGTTCGGGGGGTAGTTTATAAATTGTTCGGGGATGTTCAAGGTATTTTATAAATAGCTCGGGGTACACGAAAGTCCAAAAACAGAAACACTCTAACAAAGAGGCCCACCCAGGGTCCAATATATAAGTATATAATATATATATAAAATACATATGCAGTATATATATATATACATAAGCAACAAAATGTTCTATTCTGGGTCAACGGACTGAATGAGCCGTGTTCAACAGCCAGGTTAGTGTAGCCAACATAATGGGGAACATCACAATCCATTAGGGGAATCCCTATCAGAATATTTTAAAGGGGTACCAGTATCTAAGATTGGCCATGCTTAAAGCACCTTAAAACCCTGGGGAAGATGGCTTGGATCCGGTAGTTTTCCATCGCTCAAAACGATCATCCAAAGAGTGGCTTCAAGGAAAACTCCAAAGACCTGATGTAACAGTGAAGCACACGGGACACGGGAACAGCAAATCATTTTTGGATATCTTTGGATTTTTCGAAATCCTGCGCCCCCTGGATCAGTTGGTTTTTAACTACTGTAAACGAGCTAATCCCTTCCTCCTAATACTAAACCCCCCCCCCTAATACAAAACACGGCAAGTAGTTTTTAGTATTAGGGGGGTATTTATTATTAGGGAACCAAAATATTGCCAAAAATGGCAGTTCGAAGCTTACCCCTAATACTAAATTAAAACCCTTAATACTAAAAACCATTTTTTCCGATCTCAAAATCAATTAAATTTCCTTATATAACGCAATTAAAATATTGCCAAAAATGGCAGTTCGAAGCTTACCCCTAATACTAAATTAAAACCCTTAATACTAAAAACTATTTTTTCCGATCTCAAAATCAATTAAATTTCCTTATATAACGCAATTAAAATATTGCCAAAAATGGCAGTTCGAAGCTTACCCCTAATTGCTAGAGTAGCCAGGCAGCTTGGAGTGAGGGATTGGGACTAGGCCCCCCTAATACTAAACACCCCGGGGTGAACTAGTTTTTAGTATTAGGGGGGAGAACCCACAAATGGTAGGTTGATTTTTAAATTGTTTTTTAAAGGGGATCAATTAAAAGTCAAATTGGCCAAACTGAAATTTTTGGAAATTGGAGATGGATGCCTGTTTTTAGTATTAGGGGGACGTTTAGTATTAGGAGGAAGGGATTATTGTTTTTTGGTAGATCTATTTACACTTAATGTCAACCCTGGATTATTAAATCCCTAGGCTGTTTAATTGGGAACGTACCATTTCAGTATCAAATCATAACTATTGGGGGAATTCTCCCTAAATAAACCATGGTTTATTAATCCGGGGTTGACATTATTATCAGTGCTAATGATATTGATAATATTGATAATGATATGCCCATCATAAGTATATTGATTACCATCATAAGGATATTGATAATAACAATAATAATAATGGTAATGATATTCAATCCTTATTATATGGGTTTCTTATGGTTTCTTAAAACTGGAGGGTCCATCCGTCCATCCCTGCTGGATGGCCGGACTCGCCCGAGGAGACCTCTTTTCTCTACTGAAGGAGTTGAAAGAGCAGAATACGGTCATGGACATGGAGCCACTCGGGCAGATTACTATTTTGATACCCTCTGGTAATTTAACATAGCTATGGAAAATCACAATTTTTCATGGGAAAATCCACTATAAATGGCAATTTTCAATAGCTATGTTAAATTACCAGAGGGTATCTGGTTGGTGGTTTGGAAATCAATAATGGTTAATAAGTGTTAATGAATAATGGTTAGTCATCTATATTTTCTAATGGTGATTTAATAGGGATATTAATGGTGATTTAATGGTGATTAACCCTCTGGTAATGGAATATGAATGGCTGATTGGTGGTTTGCAACTATGGAATTTTATGACTTCCATATATTGGGAAGAATCATCCCATCTGACGAACTCATATTTTTCAGAGAGGTGGCTCAACCACCAACCGGTCATATAATCTTAGCAGTGTTTTTTTGAATAATCCCAACAATGGTGATTTAATGGTGATATTTATGGTGATTTAATTGTGGTTTAATGGTGATTTAACGGTGATTAATGGTGATTTAATGGTGATTTAATGGTGATTTAATGGTGGTTTAATGGTGAATGGTGATTTAATGGTGATTTAATGGTGATTGAATGGTGGTTTATTGGTGATTTAATGGTGATTTCATGGTGATTTAATGGTGATTTAATGGTGGTTTCATGGTGAATGGTGATTTAATGGTGATTTAATGGTGATTGAATGGTGGTTTATTGGTGATTTAATGGTGATTTATTTAATGGTGATTTAATGGTGATTTAATGGTGGTTTAAAGGCGGTTTAATGGTTGTTTAATGGTGATTTAATGGTGATTTAATTGTGATTTATTTAATGGTGATTTAATGGTGGTTTAATGGTGATTTAATGGTGGTTTAATGGTGATTTAATGGTGGTTTAATGGTGATTTAATAAGGATATTAATGGTGATTTAATGGTGATTAACCCTCCGGTAATGGAATATGAATGGCTGATTGGTGGTTTGTAACCATGTTTTTTTTTTAATGATTTTCCATATATTGAGAAGAATCATCCCAACTGACGAACTCATATTTTTCAGAGAGGTGGCTCAACCACCAACCGGTCATATAATCTTAGCAGTGTTTTTTTGTTTTACTTAATTGTAGTCTCGTTGGATTTCTTGGTAACAAGAAGGGAGATGGGCCCCATATATTTATTTGCTTTTCTACCCACACTCCACACTGCACTCTCCACACCCTACACTTTACACACTCTACACTCCCCACTCCACACTTTACACTCCACACTCTACACTTTCCACTCCACACTCCACACTCAACACTCTACACTTTCCACTGCACACTCCACACTCTACACTTTACACTCCACACTCCCCACTATACATTTTACACTTTGCATTTTTCACTCCCCACTCCACACTTTACATTTTACACTCTTCACTCCACACTTTACACTCCACACTCCACACTTCCCACTTTACACTCCACACTCTACACTCTACACTTTGCTCTCTACACTTTACACTCCACACTTGACACTTGACACTTTACACTGTACACTCCTCACTCCACACTTTACACTCCTCACTCCACACTCCACACTCTACACTCCACACTCCACACTCTACACGTTACACTCCACACTTTACCCACTGCACACTCCACACTTTACACTCCACACTCCTCAATCCACACTCCACGCACTAGGCTCCACACTCCACACTCCACCACACTCTACACTCTACACTCTACACACACCACGCTCCTCACTCCACACTCTACACTTTACACTCCACACTCCACACACTACACTTTACACTTTACATTTTTCACTCCCCACTCCGCACTTTACATTTTACACTCTTCACTCCACACTTTACACTCCACACTCCACGCTTCCCACTTTACACTCCACACTCTACACTTTACACTCCACACTTTACACTCTACACTCCACACTCTACACTTTGCACTCCACACTCCGCATACTACACTTTACACTTTACATTTTTCACTCCTCACTCCACACTTTACACTCCACACTCCACGCTTCCCACTTTACACTCCACACTCTACACTATACACTCCACACTTTACACTCCTCACTCTACACTCCACACTCCACACTCTACACTTTACACTCTACCCTCCACACTCCACACTTTACACACTCTACACTCCCCACTCCACACTTTACACTCCACACTCCTTACTTTACACTCAACGCTTTCCACTTTACACTCCTCACTCCACACTTTACACTCCACACTTTACACTCCACACTCCAAACTCCACACTTTTTACCCTCTACACTCCACACTCCACGCTTTACCGCTCCACACTTTACCACTGCACACTCCACACTTTACACTTTACACTCCACACTCCTCACTCCACACTCCACGCACTACACTCCACACTCCACACTCCACCACACTCCACCACACTCCACCACACTTCGCACTCTACACTCTACACTCTACACGCTACACTCTACACTCTACACTCTACACACACCACACTCCTCACTCCACACTCCACAATGCACACTTTACACTCCACACTCCACAGTTTGCACTCCGCACTCCACACTCCACTCTTTCCACTCCACACTCCACACTCTACACTTTACACTCCACACTCCACGCACTACACTTTACACTTTACATTTTTCACTCCTCACTCCACACTTTACATTTTACACTCCTCACTCCACACTTTACACTCCACACTCCACGCTTCCCAATTTACACTCCACACTCTACACTCTACACTTTGCACTCCACACTTTACACTCTACACTCCACACTTTACACTTTACACTGTGCACTCCTCACTCCACACTTTACACTCCTCACTCCACACTCTACACTCTACACTCCACACTGTACACTCTACACTCCACACTCCACACTCTACACCTTACACACTCTACACTCCCCACTCCACACTTTACACTCCACACTCCTTACTTTACACTCCCACACTCCACGCTCCACACTTTCCACTCCACACTCCACACTCCACACTCCACACTCTACACTTTCCACTTCACACTGCAGAGTGGTAACAGGGGACATATGTACAAGACTGTTCAAATAAACTATTGCAGAAACGTGTTCTGCGTGACTGCATATCCAAGTGTTTCGACACCTGTACCATTAACATACGTGTGAGCATTCGGGTTCGTGGGCTGCATCTTGTTTAAGAACGTATTGCCCTCTGGTAATCAAACATAGCTGGAAAATCCCCTGTTTATAGATTCCCTCTGGTAAACAAACATAGCTATTGAAAATGGCAATTGATAGTTGATTTACCCATTAAAAATTGCCATTTTCAATAGCTATGCAAACGTTTACCAGAGGGTACGTTTATTTTTCAAACATCGTCTTTGGAAATCGGGGATTTTCAGGAACATCACCTTGCGTGGTGATTTTTCAGCTGACCCATTGTGATTGCCTGTTTTTCAACACGTGGGGATGTGTATATTGGTTTTTTCCCATGAAATACCGGATATTTTTGGAGGCATAAAAAACATGATTTTTACGCATCAGCAATGGTGGTTTGGGGAGAGAGAAACCATGTGGCTTTGATGGAAAAAAGTACCATCTCCTTCTGGGATGAACATCAGTTTACCAACTATTTTGGTGGGAAGGGTACCACAGTTCTAACCAGCCTGGCCCAGCCGATGTTTTTATCGTAAAAAAGGGCAGAACTTGTTGAGGTTACCCCATCCCACTATCCCAATACCAAATGCTTCATGATGTATCATTAACTGATTGGTGGTTTGGAACATTTTGTATTTTTCCATATATTGGGAATAGTACTCCCAACTGATGAACTCATATTTTTCAGAGAGGTAGGGCTCAACCACCAACCAGTTAATGTCCCATTGGTAGGAAACGTACCCTGCGACTTTTTCTGGATCTTTTCCCCGATTTCCCCCTGAACTCTGGTTGTTTTTGCTCAGGATGCTGCGCCGTTTTTCTGCGAATTTGATCGATGGGCTCTATGCATGCCACGCCAGGAGCTGCGGAGCTGCGGAGCTGCGTTACGGGCTGTAGCTGTGGGTCAAAGGCTTTGACACCCCATGTTCAACAGCAAAATTGTGGATGGATTCGGATCTAGCCTCTGGTAAACGTTTCTAGTCTTCTAGTTTGCGAACTGGAAAATCAGCACCATTTTGAAAAGGCAATTCTCAACGAACTATTTTTGTGCCATTTTCCAGTTCGCAAACTCTTCGAAATTACCAGAGGGTATGGATGTTCATCCCCTTGGACATCTAGGAATCCTAAAACAGGGCTGGTTGTTACATACACGTCATACATGCGCAGATCAGAGGCTCCATGGAAGAAACCCGGATTGGTTAAACACAATGAATGTATGGGCCAACTTTTTTTCCACTAGAAAATCCCATTGATAGATGATTGGTCCCCATGAAAATATCCCACTAAACCACATTAAACCTCCATTTATCCTATTTATATCCCATCAATATCCCGCCATGTTCAGTGTAGTTCTTCCGCTGCGACTCTAGGAGCATGGTCCATCGCGATTTGCCGCTCGGCCGTAACATCACATCCTGCGACCTTTCGCCATGATGGGGGTTAGCAGGTTACCAAAATGGAAAGATACTTAATTAAGATGTTAAACAAGAAACATCGCCATAGAAATCATTTGGCTTTTTGGAACATCAATATTTTTTGTGGATATTAGTCCCGATAGTTATATTATTTAGGGGTTAGTTACGATCTGGTAAACGCACTAATCGCTACGGAACATCGGCATGTAATTAATCGAATTACCAGACTTAACGGTTTCACGAAGCTTCAAAGACCACGTTTCTGTACCTGACTTCCCAAAGAAGGTAGACATGGGGAATTATCAAGGGCTTATTGAGGATAGTACTTGGGGATGTCATTCCAGCTCTCAGTGGATATGCAACCATAGTTGTAGTTGTTAATTATATTATATCAGTTATATTCCAAGTTATGTAGGTTATCATCATCATGGTTATACCCATGTATAATTCCAACTGAACCCCCAAACACATTAAGTTCTTTGCTTACCTCAAATTCTATATCTAATCTCACCATTGATATGATTAACTATTGAATCGGTCCCCTATATCTTTTCTGGTTTAGGCGATTGGAACCCAATCTGCCAAGGAAGCCGCAGAACATCTTGCTCACCGGCGACGGCTCTTTGAAGACCCTCTTGAGCGATTTTTGGGGACGCTGCGGGATGCCAACGCAGCATGAGCTTCAACAGATTTCAACAGAATGCGAAAGGGAACAGCTAGTCTTCAGGCGAATTACTAGAATTCAGCCTGAATATACACCATCCACTATATAGATCCCATAAAATCCAATAAAAAAAACCTCAAATATCGATCATTCAGCCAGATTAATTTTCATGGGGAATTTTCCAAATGCCCATTTTGCCATTCCTGTCATGGTGCTTGGATCGACAAAAACATAAAAAATAAAACGCAAAAAACTTGACCGTGGCACATATACCCTCTGGTAATTTAACATACTCGTAGCTATGGAAAATCACAATGCTATTCATGGGTAAATCCACTATTTCGACTGGGCCATTTTCAATAGCTTTTTGTATGTTTACCAGGCCGGGCGCGTAACAGCAGCCAGAATCTCAGACATGGATAGATCAGACCTCAAAAAACCCTGGATTTGCTGAAGATTTTTAGATTTTTTCCCCGGAAAATCCACTACGACTGGGGAATTGATGATCGGAAGATGCTGTTTTTTTGTGGGGGGAGGGTCCTCAAGCAAATGCTGGTTAAACAATCCCAGATTGGCTAGTCCATAGCTCGATTTCCGTGGCTTATACAATCATGTACTACATGTGCAGATATAAACAAATATACTTAATATGTACATGATATTGCAAGATAATATATTATACATAAATTCCTAACTACATCACCTTCATTTGTTGGTGGTTCCAGTCATGTTCTGTTTTCAACCGGATGATGCTCCCCAGAGACCACCTTGTGTGGTGCCAGCCAATTATGGATAGTGGTTACTAAGACATCAAACTATGGATATGTCTACCATAAAATCCATACAATGTGGAGCCCCCATTTACGAAATCGCTAAGTTGGTGAACATCACTTCAATAACTAGGGTTTGTGATACCTATAGCTATAGTGTTCATGGGATTTTTGTTAACCAACAAACATAACTGGGGGAGCCCACATTGTATAAATACCAGTTACAACTAGTTGGCCTAGTTGTTAACCACTTTACCCTACCGTTTGGGGGCCTCTTCCTGTAGTAACTTGCAAAGATCCTACGTGTGGTGCCCACTCATGTCCCTACGTATTGATCTGGGTAAAACCCTGGAATCATGGTTAGGATTCGGGGAATTATCCCGATACAGCCTGAATTCATGAGGTAGTAATCCAATCATATATTCGTATATCCCAACTACTATTATTTGCGATTGCGGATTGGGACTTGTCTTATAATGTATCCCAATATTGTCCCATTTGTTGAACATTATTTAACCATATTTAGCCATAGTTAACATTAATTCATATCCCAGTTCAACCAATTAAAATCCCAATTAACCTATAATTTCACATTATTCAACCAAGTCATATCCCAATTAGTTATCCCAAATGATAAAACGCCGATGCTGACCGGCCTTAAAAAAAAACGAGACCCCAAGGATTGCGGATTTCGGTTTGGCCCGCATGATGGCTGTGCCCAACCGTCGGGATGCCGACCAACTGACGGAGGGTTGGGATTTTTTGACCATCGATCTACGGTGAAAAAAAAACGTGATTTCACCATGAACCATGCTAAATCTCCATGAATTTCATGGAGATTTAAGAATTTTAACGGAGTTTAGGGAAAAAAGAAGTTGCAGGAATCTATGATTTCTGAAATTCTCCGTTTTTGTTCCCTGTAGATTTCCCGAAAGAGTTTTGGATCTCTTTGGATTGCCGTTTTCGGAACTTCCGGAAGACGATATTCTTATTGGAAACATTTTAATGTCTTGAATTTTTAAGAAACATGAAGTGTTGGAAACAAGAAAAAATCGGATTAAATCAACGAGATATTCGGTTGGTCAACGTCGTTTGAAGGTTGGACCAAGGCCGGGCAACACGGTCCTGCGTTTGACCTGCAGAATTTTCCATGGAATGTGGCATCCAACTTGATGGTTTAGGGGTGGTCAATCCTTAGAATGGACCAAGTCATTCCTTCTCTGGTTGTTGGTTTGGAAATGTTTGGAACATTTGTTATGACTTTCCATATCAATTGGGAATTTCATCATCCCAACTGACTGAAACAGAAGGGTAGGTATGCCACCAACCAGATAGTCTTATCCCTATCAATTGATGACCATCCAATGATGACTATCCCTTAAAATAGCGAGCATCGACACATCGTCGTTGAAGTGAATGTTTTTTTGAATTATGATTGGTTAAAGAAACAATACAACATCATCAACTATCTTTTTGGGTGGTGAAGCAAATATATAGAGGTTTCCTATGGAACAGATCTCTCAAACTATTTCAGTGATTAATGCAAAGAGTGCTTTTATCATTTTGCTGTCAGCAACTGCTGAACAAAAGGATTTGCGGCTTATAACTACAGATACCAATGATATACAACAGCTGATCATATATCTACAATATGTTATAGGATATAGAAGCTAAATGAAGCTAATCATTTACAGAATCGACCAATTCGAATTCAAACCCCAAACATCCCAAACCCCAAGCGTCCTCAGTGGTGCATCGCGTGAAAGTGCCGAGGTACCTATACTTTGGAGGTGGTCACCCTGTGGTACAGGCACACTTTATGCCGATGGAGCTGGAGCTGGACCTTCTGTGGGATCCACGATGTACAGGACCTAGGAATCGTAAGATGTATAGTAAGTGGTGAAATGGGAGCAAAAGAATGGTAACTTACTACACTTACTATACAAATAATGGATAAAACCGTACGTAAGAGTGTTAAACAATATACTATTCGATCTATTTGGTGGTTACTGTACTGTACATCATATCCATAAGCCATCATAAGCTATTGATCTGAGTGGGGATATGTCATATATTATATGATTGCATGGGGTATTTTACATGGCTACCAGTTACGACGTTACCAGGTCCACCATGGTCCACCCAAAATACATAGGTAGAGGATGGTAGTTGTTAAATCATGGATGTTACCCTCTGGTAAACTAACATAACATACACAACTATGGAAATTCACAATGTTTAATGGGTACTTTAAATGAACTATAAATGACAATGTTCAATAGCTATGTTTGTTTACCAGAGAGTAGAACTCTGAGAAATCTGAGTCAAACGGGTATTGTTGGCATATGCCCCAAGTGATCAAACATAGCTATCTCGAAAATTGTCGAACCAAGTGGGGGACTTTGCATTGCCATGTTTATCATGTTTGAGGTATTTCAATCATATCCGTTACTACTACACATTATTTTCGCTTGAAACGACCAACCAGTTGATTTATTGCACGAGCTGGATTGCTTTGGTCTCAGATTCCATGTGATCCAATCACAATAAAACTTCTCCATATGGGCTCGCTTTTAAATGCCCCATTCATGGGCTCCAAAATGCCCCAAGGTTTCTTTTGGGGTTTTGATGTCAGGGAGAGGATGGGAACAAGCACATTTTCCAAGTCTTCCTGGTGGAACATTCCCATTTGGAAGCGCAGTTCCAGTGAATTCAGTGGATATATATATATAATATAATATTATTATATATATATAACCATTCATGAATTGACATTTAAGTCGATATATATATATAGAACTACAATGGGCCATGAATGTAGGGGATTACATGCCAAGAGACATGTGAATTTAGTTCACAATGGTTTTTGCCATCATTTCGTACCCTCAGCTGCTGCAGGGCACCAGAGATGCTACTGGGTACGCAGACGTATGCCTATGAGGCCCGGCAGTGGATGGCCCTCATATCATGCGGATTTATAGGGTAAACATACATAGATTCAATGGGAATTTCAGGATCCTAAATTGGAGGTACCTACCATATATAAGGCCTACTTTTTAGGCCTATGTAAGGGGATATCCCCCCAAAATATGGCCTTATATGGTACTAACGTACCTCCATTTTAGGATCCTGGAGATCTCCCAATAGATCGATGTGGAAAACCCACCAGGGAAAACCCTATGAAGATGATCTACATATCATGCGGATTTTCCACATCGAACGGTTAGCTCACTGGAGGCTAACCAACCCCCCCAAAGGTCGCCCACTAGTGAACGTGGTTTTTGGCGGTGTTCTAGGTTCGCAAAGCCTCATTCTGAGGATTGGTCACCTGTGGACGTTTGGTACTCATATAACGCGGCAAAGCCACTAAACTTCATATTTTCTAGAGACACCGTTACTTCTGCGATAGGTAGCCAGTAACCAGGGTGATTTTACCTGAATTATACTTGTACGGCAAGACCCTGAGGTTTGCCCGGACTCGCAACGAGTGTCCGGGCAAGCCAAGATGACGATGATCACCATGATCACCATGATCACGATGATCACGATGATCACGATAACGATGACGACGTTGATGATGATGATGATGATGATGCTGATGCTGATGATGATGATAATTATAATGATTTTGATGATTTTGATGATTTTGATGATTTTGATATCTTCTTGAAACCCTATAGGAAACCCTATAGGAAACCCTAATGACTGTATGGTTAATTGTTCCATGCGGCCGGGGAATTTTGATATTTTCTTGAGACCCTATAACAAACCCTAATGAGTGTATGGTTAAGTTAATTCCATATGATATGTAGAAACAATATGTTCTGGTTATATGATATGTAGAAGCAACGTGTTCTGGTTAACAGCCTAGCAATACAATTGAACATAAAATCCTTCCTGGTGGTTGACGTCGCACAGAATTCCCTGGTATTTACGCTATTCTGGGCTTGGGCAAACCTCGGGGTCTGTGTGTACTTGTAGGGTTGGTTATGGGTATCTGACAGGTAGCTGGAAGAAGAGGGAATGGATAAAAAGGTGCCAAAAAACAAATTGCAAACAAATTCAATTGGTATGCGGTAGTTTTGGGTTCACCACATTACTCCACTTTCGCTTCTGACATTCTAAACATTGCAAAGACTACGTGAGACACGGCTGATGTGGAATTTGCCAGGGGATTTTACACACCCCACACATCCTCCAAACACTATGGGTCGATGGGTTCGACCACTGGTGACAGTCACTTGGCTGATCAATGTTTTCGTATGAAGCCACACTTCATGATCATGGTACGTGCAGGAAAACGATAGCCAACAATGTGTATCGCAGGATAGTCATGTTGGAAACCCCGCATGCCAGTACTCACCAATGGCTCAGCATTTGTCGTGACCATTCTGGTGAAGGGAGCGCTATACGGACTGGTGGAAAGCCCTGGAGACTGGGCAGTCTACAGGGACGCTACGTGCAAGACCATTAGCTGGAAGGGTGAAACTGGTCAACATCGACGCCTGGCTCCAACACCGGAGCCACATGTGTGGTCAATTGAAGAAATGGAAAAGACTTCCAATGGCGAGAAGTGGTTCGTCATTGGCAATATGGGGGTTTATGTGGATGATCTCTTGCTCGTGGCCCCGAACAACATCCTTGAGGAGACTTTAGGAGCCCTGGAGGAGAGGTTCGCACTGGCTACGCCGGAATGGGTCACGGGGGCGAAAACTGTCACATTTTGTGGCTATGAAATCTCAAAGACCGACCAGGGCTATGCGCTGGGACAAGAGAAATACATCGGCGACCTCATTGACAAGCACAACATCAAACAAACAGCAGGAATCCCGTGCCCAAACGGACCAGAAGAGCCTAGCGAGAACCTCACTGGACCAGTCCTGCGAGCAGCCCAGCAGTTGTGCGGGGAGTTGATGTGGCTCACTACAAGGACACGACCAGATGTGGCGTACACGGTGGGGGTAATGTCTCGAATGCTCGTGTCAGGATTGTTGTGCAGTTTTGTTGCCAATTCTTCGGCATAATTTTACATTATAGAATAGATCAAAAGAAAATCAAAGAAGTCTATGTCTATGTTGTATAATGTCTACACAATGTAGTGTATATACGTGTATACATGTCATATAAAAATTACGATGCTAATAATTATTATATATATATATATCAATGGCAACAACAATTTATGCACATATACAGTCCAATATTATCCAATATTTATATAGTCATACATGACCAGTCAGATAGATAGGCAGATTTATAGATATACAAATATACTAGACCATATCATGTTGGATTAGATTATTTGTATATCATAATAAAGATACACCCAATTATAGCAACACAATAAGTACATCCTGAAGTAAATAGATATAGGATTTTCAATAATACTTCCATCCCACTAAGGTTTTGTTGACATGTCCAAATCTATCTACTCCAGGATGAATATATATATATAAACGTATATATATATATACTGTATATATATTTATATACGTATATAATATATATATATATATCTATCTATATGTATATATATACATTTACATATATAAAAAACACATTGATATTTCCTCAATATATTCCCCTTGAGGTTTTGCTTTATATCCCCAAACCATCTATATCTCCTCTGATCATCAAACAATGGCAATGGAAAATCCATTATCTATAGTTGATTTTCCCAGCTATAAACCTTCAGTTATAGTTGATTCTCCCATATATATATATATCATTTGAAGAACAACTACAATACTTATATATATATAGTTGAATATTAGTACAGTAAATCATAGTAGTTTGAATATTATAGATTCTCCTTCTAATATATCAGAACATCAGCAGAGTAAATCATCGAACTACTATGCAGATGACTACTTTCATCACAGATCTGCCATAGTCCCAGCATTTTCGCAGGTAGACTGTTGGTCTGCCGGCTGTGTGATCGCTGAGATGGCCCTGACACGGCCCTTGTTCCCAGGCGTGCCCTCTTAACACGGCGGCGGAATGGCGGTCAGCTGGAGATGATGAGTTACCCTTTGTTAATTTAGCATAGCTATTGAAAAGCACCATTTTTAATAGATAATTTATCTATAAAGTTATAGTGTAACTGGTAAATTTATAAATTTTAAGAGATTGAGATAAATTAATAAACCCCTTGGTTGTTTAATTGGGAGGGTGCCATTTAAGTATCAAATCATGACTATTGGATCTATTTGGGGAATACCACCCTAATTAATAAACCATGGTTTATTTATCCGAGGTTGACATCAACTGGTTAACAAAAAACAAAGTATTAGATGAAATGACTATTGGAGGAGTACCTCCCTAATTTTCAAACAAACCATGGTTTAGCCAAATCCGGGGTTGACATTATCCATGGGATGTTGACTTGTCTGTCAAATTGATGATGACGTAGATCTACCCGGCCTGGTAAACGTTTACATAACTATAGAAAATCACCATTGTTAATGGGAAAACTCACTATAAATAGTCATTTTCAATAGCCTCAATACCAGAGGGTAATTTCTCCAACTTTGACATAGAAATTGTGCACCAATTTCACCTCAGAAGATCGCTTGCCCGTGTGAAAAACCTGAGCATCGATGTCATGTTCAATTTTGCCAATGTGGTACCCGGCCTGGTAATGACTAACATAGCTATTGAAAATGGCCATTGAAATAGTGGATTTTCCCATTAATAGCATGGTGATTTTCCATAGTTATGTAAACGTTTACCAGAGGGTAAACATTTGGAGTCATAGACATGCTGTATATGTGGGAATGGTACTGGGAGGAATTTTTTACTGTACCGCAAAATATACCAGGCACTAATGCACTAATGTTCCAATTTGGATTGTAACCAATCTCATGGATCCATTCTGATCCCAATAAACCAGCATTTTTTCCGATTTCGGGTCTTGAAAATCCCATAAAAATCCCTATTTCTGGACACTGCAGATGGATCATGTGGACAGGGGGGTCCCTTTTGTCCCCCAGGAGACTCGGAGGTCGACACACTCTTCAAGCAGCTCGGAATGCGTACGGCGTACGGAGGGGTCCATGAGGGACGACTGTTCACAGATACCTTGGTTTTGACCTGCGAATGTTAGAGTAAATGAGTAAACAGAAGACATTCAAGATTATAACCACTTTAGTACATTTTAGTACTTTAGTCTATCCCGAATAATTGAAGGAAGTTTAGAAGTCAAACTTCCGACAATATGGACAGATGAAAAGCAGAGAAGGGAAGAGGCAGAGAGAAGAGAAAGATTAGAAGAAAGAAGAGTAGAAGAGAAAGAGTAAGAAGAAAGAAGATGCAGATGCGAGAAAAGGTAGGAAAGTCGCGAAACACTGTGTTTTTCCAATGATTTGGGGCTCCGGAGGGTCGAAAAGTAGGCTCGCTAAAGCGGCGGGTGCGGAGCCAGCTGGCCAGATGAGAGATGAAAAATTGCACGCCGTTGTGGCGCGAAGCACATTTCCAAGTCAAAATGTACAAAACACACCAGTCGGACCACTTTTGGAAGTTGAGATGTCGAAAAAGTGCACGCCGTTGTGGCGCGAAGCACATTTCCAAGTCAAAATGTACAAAGCACCTCAGCGTCGGACCACTTTTGGAAGTTGAGATGTCGAAAAAGTGCACGCCGTTGTGGCGCGAAGCACATTTCGAAGTCAAAATGTACAAAGCACACCATGGTCGGACCACTTTTGGAAGTTGAGATGTCGAAAAAGTGCATGCCGTTGTGGCGCGAAGCACATTTCGAAGTCAAAATGTACAAAACACACCATGGTCGGACCACTTTTGGAAGTTGGGATGTCGAAAAAGTACACGCTGTTGTGGCGCGAAGCACATTTTGAAGTCAAAATGTTAAAAACACTAGGGGTTCGGACCACTTTTGGAGGCTCAGATGTCGTTTCGCTTCGCTTCGCTTCGCTTCACTACACTACATTACACTACACTACACTCCACTACACTACACTACATTACACTACACTCCACTCCACTCCACTACAACTACAACTACACTCCACTACACTACACTAAATTACGCTACACTACATTACACTACACTACATTACACTAAATTACGCTACACTACACTACATTACACTACACTACACCATACTACCTTCCACTACACTTCACTACACTCCACTACACTAAATTACACTACACTACACTACATTACACTACACTCCACTACACTACACTACACTCCACTACACTAAATTACACTACACTTCACTACATTACACTACACTACACTCCACACACTACACTACATTACACTACACTACACTACCTTCCACTACACTTCACTACATTACACTACGCTCCACTACACTCCACTACACTAAATTACACTACACTACATTACACTACACTCCACTACACTCCACTACACTAAATTACACTACACTAAATTACACTACACTTCACTACATTACACTACACTACACTCCACTACATAACACTACATTACACTACACTACACTACCTTCCACTACACTTCACTACATTACACTACACTACGCTCCACTGCACTACAACTACAACTACACAACTACACTCCACTACACTCCACTACACTCCACTACACTAGATTACACTACACACTAAATTACACTACACACTAAATTACACTACACTACACTACATTACACTACACTACATTCCACTACACTCCACGCCACCACACTACATTACACTACACTACATTACACTCAATGACACTGCACCACAGATAGACAGGTAGACAGCTAGACAGATGAAGGAGAGAGAGGGAGATAGATAGATAGATAGATAGATAGCTAGATGGGTAGATAGATAGATAGATAGATAGATAAAGATAGATAGATAATGATAGATAGATAAAGATAGATAATGATAGATAGATAAAGATAGATAATGATAGATAGATAAAGATAGATAGATAATGATAGATAGATAAAGATAGATAGATAAAGATAGATAGATAAAGATAGATCGATAGATCGATAGATCGATAGATCGATAGATCGATAGATAGATAGATAGATAGATAGATAGGTAGGTAGGTAGATAGTCAGAGAAAGAGAGAGAAATAGTGAGAGAGATCAATCACCTTTCGCTCCATCAGTGGCTTCGCTCTGCCATCCCTGATTCACAACAACCAACCTCTCCTATAGGTTTCCTATTTTTGAAACTTCCGCCACCGCCTTGTGCGGTACTACTGGGAACAATGGTTCTATGCACCTCTGTGACTCGGTTGAGGAATGTTGAGGACATGTAGCACGAAGGCATCCTGGCGCGGAGGGGCTTCAAAGCCGCGTGGGTCACACTTAAAGGCGATTTCCAGGGCCAGGACAGCAAATTGTCCACACCGTACCACGAAGTGCTTGACGCATTAGGCTTGGCAGCACATGCCCCAGAAGCCCTGCCGCAGTACGTGCATGTCACGGGGCTCACGGTCATCGACGACATGCTGCTCGCAATGAACTTGGTGGGTTTGCAACTCCAGATGTTTGGCAGTGCGGTGTTTCCTATGGCACTTGTGCCACTTCGCTTGTTTGGTAAAGACAGATTCATTTGCAGAAAGTTCTGTGCCCTACCCAAATCCCCAAAATGTTTTGATCGCATTTCTCCTTTTGGGCCCCTTGCATCTCGCATGAGCACCCTTGCATCTCACGGGATGTTTGGAGCACCAAAACGTTCTGTTTAACTAACCCCAGATACTCAAGTTTGACCCATACAGTCCCACTCCCACTTATGACTTTTAGGTCAAGTTTTTTCTGACTAGCCAGCACATGACATCGACGAACTCACATGGTATGAGTAGGCCCGACTCTGATTCCAAGTCGATGATTGTTTCCATAGTTACTTCACTTTTCATGGGGATTCAAAGCAACCAGCGATGAAAGGGTGACCAAAATGTCGGGGTTGGTTGAATTGCCCGATAGTGTGGTCCACATTGGATGCGCCTGTAGATGAGGATTTCCCCAGTTTTTTTCCAGCAGACAAGCCTGGTGTTTCTCATTTACATCCGTTAAGTAACTGCACTCCTCATGTGTGCGGGTTACACTTTTGTCAATTCAATTCAACAATAATTCTCCTTGATCAGTTCGTCCCTACCCTAAATTTCTTGTCGCCCCCAGCAATGGTGTACTCAGGTGTACTCGTTTGAGCTTTCTACTCCTAATATTCTCGTGATCTTTGTTAGTTGAACCATCCAGGATCATTCAAGTCTTAGACTGAGATCAAATCCAGTTTTGTTGAACCATCCCAAGCTAGCGGATTGAATTTACATGGTAACGTTTATATTAAAATTTCATCAAATCCCTGTCATATGCCATTTATTCCATTTCTTGTTTGTTCCACCCCCAAAAAAAATTGGGCCATTCCAATTGCCTTAAATGGATCCACATGGTGTTTTTATCGACGTTGGCGACGTTGGCGACGCTGGTCATTTTGGACCCACGAAAAGTCTTATCCCATATTTTTGAGATTGCCCATGGTAAAATGGATATGATCCATAACCATATGGTTCGCAGTTAGACAGTACCTCAAACGAAAAAAACTGCCAAACATTGCCAAACTCCAGCTGATCATGGCTTATTTTCCATGGCTATCGTCCCAATAAGTCGGACACAATCGGAGACCCAGGGCCCCAGCAGGTGGACCCCGGCCGTAAAAAAATCACCCAGGATCTTCCGCTTGTTTGGCACTCCATCAGCTGCTCGGACCACAAAGGCTGGGATGTTTCAGGATTTGAATGAGTACCCTCTGGTAATTTAACATAACTATGGAAAATCACCATTTTTGATGGGAAAATACACTATAAATGGCCATTTTCAATAGCCATGTTAATTTACCAGAGGGTAAATTGTGGTATCAACTAACTGAATTTGCTGGTTACATAACGCTTAAAATCGACGTTAATGATTTTGATGATTGTTTTCTTATCCCTTCCCCCGCAGATTAAAAAATGCTTCGGAGCCATTCTACATGCAGACCTGGTAGTGGCAATGTTTTGGGAAATTCCTGGCTTTGCAGGTTGCCCTATGTTGCCCTACCGTAGATTAACAAAATATGAAGATATGGAAAATACTGTGTATATATATACATATTAGATGAGTTCGTGGTGAAACCATATGCTTTCAATATCCATGTTAATTTACATCAGGGCATATATCTATCTATAATATATTATAATATATATATATAGAGCTTCATGGGTTATGTTTTTGCTGTTTGCACCACACACGAAGGAATACATTGCCAAGCACAACACCATCTCTTTTTGCAGCTAAAATTGTCCATGTATCCAACAGCCACATCATCCCTAAAGCCAAATGTGTTTTGGAATCATTTTGATTTCCGGGGTCTGGGTGTACCTCACCGTTTGGCCACATGAGCAACCGACGATATTGTTGGTTCTCACTCCATCACATGCGATCGACATTGAGTGGAGAGTGAAGAATGTCACTTGACCATTGACCATCGTACAGAATCCTTGAACCCTGATAGGGGAACAATATGGAACAATAGTTGTTGATTTAAGTGGGGTACCCCTAAAATCGAATGGTTTATCATCCTCTTCCCTCCAAAAATGACAATTTTGATAAAATGGTTTATCATCATTTTCCCTCCAAAAATGGTTTATCATCCTCTTCCCTCCAAAAATTACAATTTTGATAAAATGGTTTATCATCATTTTCCCTCCAAAGATGGGTTATCATCATTTTCCCTGCAACCATTCCCTCCAAAAATCACAATTTTGACCAAGCCACAGCCTGGAAACTGCCTGCAGGATGGGATCCAGTGAATCTCATGATGAAACCAGCTAGTGTCGATCCGCAGAAGACTATCACAGCTATGGATGTGGATTAAAACCTGCCATAAGAATCGATAGATTAACATCATAAGTATAGTCTGTATAGTATACATAATATGCCATACTTATCTTAATATGCCATACTGGTTGGTGGTTTCAAACATTTTTTATTTTCCATCATACATGGGATAATCCTTCCCATTGACTTTCATATTTTTCAGAGGGGTTGAAACCACCAACCAGCATAGTTGTAATATGCCATACTTATTCTCTGCTGGGACTAAGACAACCAGGGTGCCTTTGGCTTCGACCTGCCGAGGATCAGAATTGGCCCGAGGGCACGCATCTACGGCACTGGAAAGACAGGCGCTTCGGGGGAGGAATCATCCAGGAATGGTAATAAACAGGTCATAGTAGTATGATACCTCAGTTATATACCGGTTGGATATTTGTGTATATACATATTTGTGTATATACATATTCGTATATATATACACGTATATATGTGATATGTATACATCTATATATTGTAATATTTGATTGCATATGTAAAGTATTAAATTATGGGTGATATATGGCTTAGATATGGCAAAAAAGCTGTGATGAAGCCAATCGAAGCATGACACCCGACTCGAGGTGACGGAAATCACAGGCAGAGAATTATGGCATAGTATAGTGCGCTACCATGGCATATTAGATCATAAAATATTGCCCTAGTTTTTTGTAGTCGTTTCCCTACCATTTGTTGATTGGTGAACTGAGGCTACTCCAAGCCATGGCCATTTTTGAGAAGTCTCCAAGAACTGACAAATAAGTTGGGCCAAGAAGACACCAGGAAATTTGGTGATTGATTATCATTTTACTCATTGACATGGCAACATATTATTGAATGTGTACAGTATTTTCCCTGCTTTCAGAGAAGCCCACATCTTTTTTCCCCGCTAATTCTTCATTGTTGTTGGTAAATCCACCAGAAAAGATGTTGTTGGTACATCCAATTCTATTGCATCCACGTCTATATTTCCCAGTTCGTTGGCTGTAACAAAAGCACATGAAATGGTTTGTTTCTATAACCATTAAATCACCATAGTGTTGTTTGCATACCGATTACATCGCCATTTATATCACACCATTGTCATGCTATGTCTTGGAATCTACCCAAAGATTCGCCAAAATGATTGGTTAGAACTGTTTACGGTGATATATCAGCAATTTTCTTGAAATCTACTGCAAGATCATCATCAAAATCTCCATGAAGCCTCATCAAACTTCCTTAAATTTTGCCTCAAAACCATCATTTTGCCCTGCATGGCATGCTGCGGCGCAGGTTCCCCAAATGGGAAGGCACTGGGCTTCAAGGGCGGCTGGAGCATCGGCCGGAGCTTAGATCACCTGGACATGGAGACGGTGCCTCGGCACTACAGATATTAACATTTTATAGTTCTCTAATTGGCTGCATATTATTTGTTATTTGGCTAATAAATATATCAGAACTATTTATAAAAATATAACAGCTAAATATCTACAAATTTATCTATTGATATCATTTCAATGGGAATTTGGGAGATCTCCAGGATCCTAAATTGGAGGTACGTTAGTACCATATAAGGCCATATTTTGTGGAGGTACTCCAATTTAGGATCCTGGAATGGCCATGGATTATTTGTCAGATATTTGGCTAATATTCTTCAGTTATCAACAGATATTGACAGATATAGTGTTATATTTTTGGCTACAGATATTAACATTTCATGAAAATAATACTACTATTAGCTAATTAATAACGGTACAGTAATACTATCGTATCATTGTTATTGACATTTTATAGTTATATGTATATATAATGTAATTATCTATATAATATTAGCTGATGGTTAATCAATATTCCTGTTCTTCATATTAGTGAAGATGTTTTCCATAACTATTTTTTTTTACATAACTGTATTTCCCATAGGCTCCATGTATAGTATAATTACCTACATTAAACGGTCATTTATGCGGGTAATGTTGGTAGGTATTCCATACATGGAGCATATGGATTTTGTTTATAACCAATATAATGAGCTTGTATTTATAGTTAATATAGTAACTACATTGACTAGTAGTAGTTAAGTACTTAGTTATTAATTCATATATTAACTACTAATAATGACTGTAGACTATTATAGTTGATATATAGATTAACTGATATAGCCAATATTAATATTAACTGTAGCTATTAGTTATTGATATAGGTATTACTGTAACTACTACTAATCAACTATCAAAATATGATCGTAGATATCACTACATATAACAATTAACTTACTACTAATCAACTATCATATTTAAGACTGTAGCCAAATAGGGGTTTCCAAAAATGGGGGGTACCCCTAGTTATCATCCATTTAAAAAGGATTTTACATTATAAACCAACCATTTTGGAGTACCACCATTTATGGAAACCCCCCATATGTGAATTCTACCAGGGAGTTGGGGCAAGGGGAGCTGCTCATGAATTGAACATCGAAAAAATGGCCGGAGAATGGTCACATGTCACATGCGATGAGGCATACAATATATATAGTTTATCAGTGAGTTATATAGCTAATTGTTAGTCACTGTTAGTCAATATTGTTACTATTAATGTATTAATTAATGTGGGAAACCAATAATAAGCCAATGAAGCCAATAATAACTATCAGAGAATATTGTCAATATATTAGTAATTAACTGTGATATAAATATATATATATATACAATTTGGATATATTGGGGAACATATCATCTAGACCATCCTAGAAACACTTTTTGATCTTATAGTGAATCTTATGCAGTTCATCAATATTGATATAGCTAATAGTTAATCATTATTCTTAATATTAGCGAAGCAACCCCCCAAAAGGTAAAAACAAGTTGGAAACCTGGAAAATATCAAAATATGGGGAACATGTCATCTATACCATGCTGGAAACATTGTTCTATCTGTTTGGGGCTTGTAACTAATATGAACAGTTTCTTTAAACATATTACTATGCAATCATTCCAGTCACAACAACTACCACCGCCCACAAACGGAGGGTACAATATAATTGTGAGGCCTAAATGAATCTTATGTTTGTTTGGAAGATGCTCGGAGAATAAGAAGTACTTTCTTTCCAGCCGTTTTTGCTTTATGTGAACAGGAATTTCAGTCAATGACCAATGAAGAATCCTCGTTTGCCATGTCGGTGCTTTCTGAAAAAGCTCTTGAAGGACAATTCTCAACAGCATCTGAGAATCTTTGTGACAGGATAGTGATTTCCAGAGACAAGCTATCGGGAACATTGGAAGGCTTGCTGCGGCGCCAAGGGCTTTCAAGCCGAAGTTCCAACCATTATCAATAGTTAATTACTGAATATTCTTGATATTAGTGAATGAATCCTGGTTGTTGCTCACACTTATTAGCTGATACAATAGCGTCTGCCAATGAACAACTATCCAGTATATAACTAGTAACAATTGACATTTGTATTTATATATATATACATAGAAATGTAAACAATTATATTGCTGTTTATATGAGTTGATAAATATAGCTAATATTTAATAGTTAATAGCGTAGCATTTGTTTTTACCACGACGAAAATTCCATTTTTACAAAATTTCCATGGTGATTTTTCATGTGGTTTCGCAATGGGATATGAAGCATCTATCTATCTATGTTGATGGTTACACCATGTTATAGTTACCCTCTGGTTATTTAACATAGCCATAGAAAATCACCATTTTTAATAGGTAATCCATCTATAAATGGGCCATTTCCCATGGCTATGTTAAATAACCAGAGGGTATATTCCTGGAAAGTTGAATAACACACCAAAACTATGAGATGCATTGTTAAACCGACTATTGAAGGTACTGAAATACAACCAAGTCCTAGGCAACAAAGGGTAATTTTCATGGACTACCAATTTCAGCTCAAAAACTAAGGGGCTTTGCCTGAAATTGGTACTCCATAAACATTGGTAGTCTATAAAAAATCCCATATTGGTAGTCCATAAAGCTTACTTTATGGTAAAAACTACAGTACCTGAAATGTTACCATATTTTTATGGTACCTCCTATTGGCCATGCCTTTAATTTAAGAACGACATATGATTGGTCAGATTTTGCAATGAACACATGCATTTTGCCCCCAAAGAAATGGGGGGGTGCTGAGGTGCTTTTTCTTTTGCGATTTTTGTATCTCTTGGTCCCATGATGTAAGCAGCAAACATGGTTATACAAATTTACACATACAGGTTTAACTACCATACATTTGGGGATGCAGGTGAGTCGAACCAGGGGTATGGTTTGGGTATGGTTTTGATATGTTTAGATGAGGGTATCGTATTATTTTTTATTAGGGGTATGTACATATAACATGCCCTCTGGCCACGAAACCTGTATCCATTTAGAGAGAATTTTTCCATGTGAAAACAGTGAGTGTTCTTCATTTTTCCATGTGATTTTACAGAATGTACCGTATTTATTTTGTCTATCGGGTTTCCAGAGTCATGGGGGTACCCCTAGTTATCATCCATGTCAATGGGATTTTCCATGAACTAAACCATCCATTTCGGGGTACCAGCATTTATGGAAACCCCCATATATATATATATTAAATATAGATTATTTACATTATATACACATATATTTAATCACCATTAATCAGCATGATTGCCCAATATCCTAGGCAACAAAGGGTAATTCTTCACAGTGATTCTTACTGAGATGATCGCCATCGAAGTGGAGGGACAATTTTTAGTGAACGCTGAGGCTTTTACAACCATGGTTTTAAACAAAGAGATCATGTAGGTCTGATTCGTTTCTGTATGTTTTTGTATGTTTTTGTTTTAATATTTTTGTAAGAGACCATAGCTACAATGAAGGTTTACCACTACCACACTATCTCCCCTTTTCTATTTTCAACAATTACCCTCTGGTTATTGAACAGTTCGCCAGGGAAAATGGTCCATTTATAGATGGTTTACCTATTAAACATTGGTGGATCTTTCCATGGCGAACTGTTGGTCATAACCAGTGGCTACTAATTACATCTGCTAAACTAACACAACATAACTATGGAAAATCCACCCATTTTTCATGGGAAAACTCACTATTTCAATGGCCATTTTCTATGTCGCAAACTGTTGGTCATAACCGGCGGGTAAATCACCATTAATTCACGATTAGCCATGAATAACCTCCATTAACCACCATTAACCACCATTAATCACTGTTAAATTACCATCAGATTGGGATGGCAGGATGGGTGGTTAACAGAACAGTTATAACCTATCCTTTCAGGTGCTGACCTTCTGAGAACCTTGGTGTTGGGGGATGGGGCGCTCTCGGGTCCTGGGCATATCTGTGTTCTATGGCTCTATGGTGTGTGTTTTCCCCCAAAGGTAGCATGACTCCTTCGAAGAAACTTAGATCATCTGAATTTATATTTATATATGTATATATTTATATCTTGAATATCTAGAACTAAGACAGGAATAAGAACTAAGATAGGGTTGTTGATGTTGTTGGGTGGTTTCCTCGAATTCAGCAGGTGTACCTTGACCCTATATGATACCATCCTGTCCCCCCAAGATCCATTGCACCATGGTTTCAAGTCTGTTTATACATAGAAAGGAACATATTCTACCCTCTGGTAATTTAACATAGCTATTGAAAATACCCCAGTTATAGTGAGTTTTCCTATTAAAAATTGTGATTTTCGATAGTTATGTTAGTTTACCAGAGGGTATATCTATGAGATATTGTATCTTACTCAACAGTTTACCCTCCGGCAAACTAACACAGCTATGAAACATAACAATGTTTGATAGGTAAATCAACTATTTCTATGTTATTCAACAGTTGAATTGATAGTTTTACAAGCCTGAAAAAAGCTAGGTACTTATACTTGGAGCATCATCCCAGCTCAGTTCGTACATCAGTGGTTGGCAAACTAAAGTTGTGGACTGGATAGATGGATATATATATATACATAATATATATCATATGGGATAATCCCACGAATCGGAGACACAGAAGAATTTACCAAGGCAGCTGTTCAGATCAAGTCCCTCTATTTTCAAAAATGCGCCTTCCGCTATATACTTGATCGTGACCGGATTAATAGAGAATATGACAATATAGCAATACAGAGGGATACCAACAAACAACACATGAATATGACATACTGAAATTAGAAGGGGGGTGGCATATAATGATGCATTATAAGAACATTTTGGAAGGGTTGGCCACTCTTCTTTCCCATATACCCTCTGGTAAACTAACATAGCTATGGAAAATCCCCACTATTCATGGAGAAATCAATGTAAATGGCCATTTTCAATAGCTATGTTAGTTTACCAGAGGGTAAGTCACCATCAAATCACCATTTATAGTGGTTAAATCCCATGAAACCACCATTTTTCCCAACATAAATAGTGACAATGTTTGTTCATTTAATGATACCTAAGTGGCTGCCAACATTGCTGAAATCCCTAGAGTTGAACACCGGAATGTCTGTACTTACGGCGTTCAGTTGGCCCCCGTTGACGTTTACGAAATCGCGTTCAGTTGGTGAACTAAACTATAGTATGCCTAAAACTATAGTATATTTGGTTTATGATATGCCTATAACTATAGTAACTATAGTATTCATGGGGTTTATAAACCAACAAACATAACTGGGGGGCCCCTCATTGTAGTGTATT